AAAAGAGAGAGGGAGAGAGAGACAGAGATCTAACACTTCGTAGTGGGTGGATGGAGAGAGAGATGTTGATGGGAGGGGTAGACACGGAGGGGGCGGAAGGTAGGAAGGGGTATCCTCACTGAGACTGAGAGAGAAACGAGAGAGGGGGTGGCAGGGAAAAGGACAGAGAGACATAGATGGAAAAAGAGAAATCCTGTCTTCCGCTTCATGGCCGTTCATGTCCCCTTCATCTGTGTTTTGTGTCTTGTTAGTCTCCCTTTAGGATGTTTTTTTTTTTCTCTTAATCTTTGTTGATATTGTCTTCTAAATTTCCTGGCACTGCTTTTCTGAGCCATAGAGTCATCCTAATCACCTTTTACATAACTCATGGCAGAAAATATGTACAGTATTCTAGAGTAGCTTTGTGTGTGCTGGCCAATGATGCATGTGCCCATATTTCTACTGTGTGAACCACAGACTGTTTTAGTGCGACTGTGTCTGGACTGTTCCTCTATAGTCCCCAGTGCTGTGCCAGCCCCCTCATCCCCTCCCTGTATGAGATTGTGCAACCGACGCAAAGGGGAATCCTCTCTGACACAGACAAACAGTGCTACGCACACACTGCAAGTGCTGCTGATATATAACATGTGCAGCCACTGAGCTTGCACAAACTCTGCCATTACTAGACACGTCAGCCTCCACTCTGAAGACATTACCTTTGCTTCCTTTTGTGAAATGGGTTTCTCTGACGTCAAATGGGCAAGGTGCACGGCTGAATACAGAGAAGAATTGGGTCGAGCTGCCTGTGTATGTCTCTCCCACTGCTGTCTGTGGGTTTGTAAGTTCTTGCTCACTCCTGTTTGCAGCGTTCTGCGCTTCCATTCACCTTCATCTTTCATTCAGCCTCTGCAGAGAAAATGGAGAGGCATGTCTGTTACGCATGCTTCTCCATTATGAAATTTGAAATAATGCAATGAATGAAATAAAGTAATAGTAATAGCTTTCAATCATTACCCATACAGAAGTGTAGGAATACACAGTGCTCATTCTGCATTCACTTGCACTCTGGCTATTGGTAATGAGAAATAACCACGGTAGAAAAAACAAAACATTTTTAATGTCTGTGCTGTATGCTGTCACGACAGCACAGTGTCGTGCGTCTGGCAAAATAATGCAGTTCTGTGTAATTGTGTTGCAGTGTTAGTATAAGTTATTCACTATATAATTTTGAGTTAGAGTAAATTTTTATTTAAGAAATTAAAACTACCAATAGATTAAGGTTGTGGTCAGTTACTTTTCAGCACAACAGTGTAGTTTAAAATTATGTTTTAACCCTCTTGATATCCCAACTTGTCAAACTAATATATTGATTCTCTTAGGCAACAGCTGGTATCAAAGTGTGGCTTTTGGCTCAATGCGCATGATGTCTGTAGGTTAATTAGAAATTAGTTTTCTGAATAGTTAATGAGTTAAACGACTTGATATACACCAGCTTTCTGCTCTTACCACTTACAATGCAGTAGAATTCTTCTCATTTCACCAGCTTGCCCCGCTGCTAACTATTGCTGAGACCCTGACCCAGCTTGACCTGGAGCAGCTAATTTTGACAGTGATCTCATACCTGCTCGAAATATTTAGTCCAGCTAGCCTACTGTCTGAAGTGGTCATATACATTCTGTGTGTCTTAACATAAACACACACACACACACATCCACACAGTGTTGACCAGACAGATTGCTCTCCCTGTCTTTTTCAGTCACTGGCCCACTCACACATACACTCAATGTCTCACTCACGGCTCCCTTCCATTGGCAGTCTTTGGTTTGGTAACATGACACAGTAGGCAGGGCAATGTATGACCCGTGTGTCTCAGCTGGTAGCCTGTCATCAGGAGGGCCTATGTAAGAGTCGGCAAGGCCGGTAATATGTGTGAAGTGGGTCAGAGTGCCCTGCACGGCATTATGACAGCTGATGAGGATAATGGTGATTTTGTGAGTCTGCTTGTGTAACCGCTTGTAAATCTATGCGCTTACCTGTGGTGTGTCATGGTGTTTTGTGAAGCTTGACATTTTCCCCTGACATTAGTATGGATTTTGGACAATTCTGAAAACATTAAATGGGCTATTAATATTTGCTGTTAAATGCCCGGTCGAAGCATCCCTGCCCTGCTGTATTACACCAGCCTGTTAATGTGGTTTTATGAGGCCAACATGATGTGGATAGCCTCTTTTGCTATGATGTAACTGGCCCAACTCTGCTGTATATCTGCAGCCACATGAGATGATGCAGACAGTTGGCAGAGAGATGTCAACATCAGGCCCACCAACATACTGACTGAACTGGGACACACTAGGCAGAGATCAGTGCTGCTGCTGCTGCTGGCAGGTTTTGTAGTTGTTGAGTCTACTATGGGCAGCTCATATTATGACATGGAATAGTTCTTATGCCTGGATGATATTTTGTGTTACTACTGCATAAGAATAGGGGTATTCTTTACTAGTACTAGCTACAGTAGCAGTGTTGTGTTGAGCTCATTACCATCATCAATATTTTTTGTCAATTGGGCAACAATGCTAGTAGCAAATTCTTCCTCTTCATCTGCTTTCCTCAGAGCTATGATTAAGTTTTTGTTGACGCAAACAAAACACTTCCTGTAGCTGCTCCACATTTAAAGCACCAGTCAGCGTTGTCAGATTTTTATTGTTAGGTGTTATTTTAGTTATGGAGTTTTCTAGGGTAATTGTTCATATGCATTTGTTTGCAGTGATTTGCCAGGTGATCAAGAATAAATGGACTTGATATTACGATGTCATTTGTATTTATCTATGGTAGTAGGTCAACTAGGTAGTCAACTGGACTCATTGTGGAGTTGTTGAACAGGCTAGATTACTCATCTGAGAGGCTTAATTAGTACTGAAGCTCTAATTTGACTTTCTACCATTTGATATCCCATGACTTGGATGACTGAGAACCAACATTGTTTGTACAACACGCTAAGATTGCTTGGAAGAAATGGTAGATCCTTTTCATCCTGCCCTGTTCTTTCTGCTTCTGCCTTCCCATCCCTCTCAGTCTGTGCACACTGCAATCCATGTATTTATTTTTAATAATATTCTTCTCTCTGCCCTTCTCACTGGTACTTGCTCAACACAAATGGCAGCAGTTGGGAATGACGTTACCATCTCCTTGGCAACCCTGTGGGCTGGTTTGTGTGTGTTTGTGTTTGTGTGTGCGTGTGCATGCGTGCGTGTGTATATGTTGAGGGAAGCAGGGGGGAGTGCTGAGGAGAGAGCTGCGGGAACATAAGAGAGGAATGGGTGGAGGAGGAGAGAATAGTTAAAGCTGGTTTATTCATAAGCACCCCACCTCTGCCTCTTATTCACAATTTTTCCTGCAGCCCCTCCCTGCCATTAAACCATGACGGTCCGCTCAGCCATGAGGATGACACTTGAGATGAATGATTGTCTTTGCTTTCTAATCCAAAACCATTCATTCTTTTTGTGCTAGAATATACGCTGTATGTGTGTGAGCAGGCAAAAGGGGGAGATTTTTTTTTTTTTTTTTTTTTTGAAGTGACTGAATCAGGCATTTGTATCTGCCTACAGTACATGGTGTGGCTGTATTCTGTGCTGCTGTATGGTCGGCTTATATAAGCAAAGTGGGGTGGGGGCATGTGGGTGTCCTGGTCAGCGATGTGGTGTAATGTTGCTGATGCTGCTGCTGATGACGCCTTTGCTGTTGCATTGCCTGGGTCTTTCCCACAGTGGGAATCCCTGCCTCGCTTGTTCACTCATCTCTCATCTATCCTGCAGCACGGCACAGCAGTACAGAAAGGGACATGCATGAATGGCACCCATCCACGCTGCATGAATACATGCAGACAATCAAGATTGCACTTCATCTCATCTCATCTTTTGCTTTATGCTCATATATGGGATTTCATGCATACTTTTTTATCTTTATTTCAGCACGCACACACAACTTCTGCTGCTGTCGGACAGAAGGATTGTTATTCATCTGTGTTGTCTGTCTGCATAGGTGAATGGTTGTAATGCCTAAGACGTCAAGAGTATGGAGCTAGAATTCACCCCAAAGCTGCCTGTGCTTCTGTGTTATGTTTTTCTATGATGGGAAAATAGGTTTAATTATGTAATTTAGAAAAAGTGAAGAACAGAGAAAATACATGACAGGGATGTGATCATTATAGTTATTGCTGTAATTAACATTTTCGTTGATGATGATTATATAGCCCTAATTGAAGCTGTTGTGATTTGATAGAAGTTGAAGGAGCTTGCTGATAGAAGATGTCTAAATTTTTTTAAATGGGTAAAGCTGGTGCATGTGTTTATGCTGTATGTTGAACCAGGCAATTTACTACCATCCTGTTCAAGTCTTGCATTGCAATCTTAATTGTATGGTGAATTGCTCATATTAACCTTATTAGCTTATTTCAGTGATTCTTAGTATAAGCAAATAGAGCTGACTTTGATGTTTCTAAAATTCCCAGAATCAAAGCATTTTCTTAATAAGTGGTAGTGCCTTACTAAAGAAATTCTAGTTACAAGAAATACAAAACTAGTTGGCACTATAAAGGACCTCAAGTTGAAAGGACAATCATTTTCACTGCACTTGGTCTAAAGCTTTGCTAGATGGATCCTTCATGTATGACATTTTGCTGCTACTGCGATTAATAGTGAAAATGTTTTTTTTTTTTTTAGAATTTTAACCTATTCTTTCCCAGAAAACATATATTTCCCATTCATAAAGAGTGGTGCCCACACTGCAGAAACCTGCATTTTAAGAAGTGACAAATATAAATAACAAGCAATTTAGCAATTTCTGGGAATATTAGACCTGAGTTGTGTTTGTGATTTGTAAACCCTGTGTGCCAGTAGGCTGTGAGCTTTCAGTTCTTTGTCCTCCACCCTGCTAGAATGAGCAGCAGCAGCAGCGATGAGTCACTCAGTGTGTGAAATATGACGTCATCCGTGTCTTCCTCTTCTTCTGCTTTTGGTGCTCAGGGCTCCTAACTGGAGGACAGACCATGCTGCTGCACTGAGCCCGAGGAAAAGAAAAGAGAGAGGCCTCAGAGGACCGCTGAGGTCGTGGCTGGCCTGTTGGTGTGTGCCCCCCCCCCCCTCCCCCTCCCCCCTTGTTTGGCTGGCTAACTGCTGCCTCTTCAGTTCACCTGATTGCTGTAAATATATCTTCCTTTTTTCCATTTGTGCATGTTATTTTTTTGTTGCATTATTGTTCTATTAAAGATGTGTCTTTTGGAACAGGTTTGTGCCCATATTGGGAAAATTAAACCTCTAAATATGTTTAAATGTTATGTTTTTTTAAATTGATAAGTTTATTTTGTAACTGATTTTCATGATTGTAATGTAAAATGTTAGCTTATGCTATAGTACCTTGGTATATAAAAGAAAGTAGAAGTTATAAAACAACCTATTCAGTATAGATTTCCTGATCAGCTGTTAATGTATCAAACTGGATGAAAAAATTCAGTCTGTTTTATCCATCAGTTGAGTTGTCACTCGGGGTCACGTAAGCACTCTAAATATCACATTGGTAGAGCTTTGGCCATACAGTTTTCTCTGATAAAATTAACACTTCTTACTTGTTACAAATCAAGATGTTAATAACCTTAATTACTAAACAACAATATTGTTACTATCTCCGTTCATATTAATCTGTTGTTTTTTTATTTTTATGTGGACAAATTTTGGGGAACATTTCCCCAAAATGAGGCAGCTTATTCTTAATAAGTAGAACAAACCAGTTTAGGAGCTAAATAATCATGTTGTAATTAGCAGTCACGTAACTCAGAAAATGAATCATTGTTAATAGATTTTTAGCATTTTTTCTTCTATATGTTGTTTCCTCACAGCCCAACCCCAAGGGCTAAGGTTTGCTATGGATGTCGCTTCGCCCCCTGCTGCAGCGCTGCCCAGTACACTACCTTAGTGGGTTCCCCTCATATTCCTGTGTGGTTCCCATCCAGACTCCCTCTACAGAGTCCAGCACAGATCTGGTACCACCTACAGGTAGATAGTATAGTAGTGCAGTCGCACACATTTACTATATGTGGTCTGTCTCTACTTTCTCTTTTGTCATTTGTTGTCAAAACGTCACTGCCTTTTGGTGTGTGAAACTGTAAATTTCCCTTTCTTGTCTCTTTTCTCCCAGCCACTCCTGGGTTCTCCACCCAACCCCCTCCCCAACTCCCACCCTCTCCCCCTCCCCTAAGAAGATGTCAGTGAGCCTGACAACAGACATCCAGCAGGAGGGAGAGAGTGGGCAACTCATCGAGCCTTGCAGTCGAGGCAAGACCTCCCCTCAACCACAGGGCACAAAGGAGGGTACAGGGGAGGGCGTGGAGCCTGAGGATAGCTCCCCACAGGATGCACAGGTCAGAAGAAGTGATGATATAAGAGTTTTAGTATGAATTTTAGACCATTACATTGTAAATGATGATGATGGATTTGTTAAATAATTGAATAAAACAAATTAAAAGCAGGAAATTTGAGTGCATTAAATGCTCTTCGATAACCTGGCTTTTTTTCAGTTGTTTTGAATAAAGGAGCACGCTGCTAGAGAAGACTGTCAGCTCACTGCATTGCCGTCACAGAGATATTTTCACAGTCTGACATCGGTCAAATGCACATGTGTCTTTTAAAAACCCTGTTTACATACCCTTTTAGACATAGATATGGTCAAGAAAAATCACTAAAATTGATTTTTTGTGACTTGGCATTTGAAGTGTACCCAAACACAAATGTTTATCTGTAACTATCCATATTATATAGTTAAATCTGTCAGGTAGGGAATTTTTGTGTATTTAATGTGTGCCTTATTATTAAGGTTAGTAAAATAACACATTTCTCTTGCAGAAACGGGCTCCCAACCACAGCCATGGCAGGAAAAGAGCCAAAGTAAGTCATTCATTTTGTTTGGTTTTTGTTTGGTTTGGTTTTTTTTTTTTTTTTTTGCTATGAAGATAGGTATTCACCTATCTGAAAGTAACCCAGATGACTTTATAATCTTGCTCCCTCAAATAACCCTCTGCTCGTTTGTTGTATGGGATGACCTTCCATCATTAACATTCTAATCCTCTAAACTACGGTGGACCACCTTCTTCTTATCATTGACTTAAAACCTTAAATCCCATGAGAGGGTTAAAAGTAGGTGTGTGTGTGTGTCCTGGTGACCTTAGTGAGGCTATGAAGAGAAGGATACACTTGAAACTGTTCAGAAAGACTATAAGTAGTTATATTCAATAACTCTTGTTGTTGTCAGTGTTATATTTTGACAGACTGAACGGTAATGATGATTGCCTACTAATGTTGTGAGCACCCAGCTCACATTATTATACTATAATTCCAAAACAATTTCCCAAACAATAACACTTCAGGACATGAACATTTTGACAACATGTTGTTATAATATATAATAGGGGTGGAACAGTTCACAAAATCCACGGTTCAGTTCGTATCATGGTTTTTGGTTCGGTATACGTTGTTATTGTTGTTTTTTCAATTTTTTTTAACACTCCAGAAATACCATACATCATATGGCCTAATAATCGACCATTTACAGTTTTTAAAAAAAAAAAAAAAGTTATTCTCAAGGACATGTCATGTAGTCATGCAAAAACTGAGGCAGAATGAGGCAGTTTGATATTAGTTACATCATTGTGACAGTCTTAGGTTAAAGCTAGGTGAGATTTTGGTACAACAAAAGGGGGCGGGTCTGCAAAACGGAGCTTTTCATCTCCCACTCTGAAGTAATGTTATGGGTAGCCCTGGAGGTCCATCCATCAGTAGTAAGGCCTACATAGGCTGTGTCGAGCAACTCTGACAATTCCTCGTCTTGTTTCTTCATAAAGTTCGGGAATTACCGTGTTGCTGACTTGCCTGTTTATTTACTGTTCTTTCCTACCCGACTCTCAACTCCTTGCACTGTCAATCGGGGTGATGGGGGTGATGTCTCCGTAGGTGAGCCAAAAAAATGGACATGATGCCGCTAGCATGAACAAAAATTCACTTGGTTACTGGCACAAGGCTTTTTCACGCATGCCCTGAACCGGGACAAGCGAACCAAACGGGACAGATTTTTTTCATGAACTGTTCCATCCCTAATATATAGTAATATAATATAAAGTTAATCAACTGAAACTCACTCACCCTGAATTCTGTGTACAGATGAGGATGTCTGTGTTTGAGGTGCTTAGATAAGTTTGAGGTTTTTCTTCCTGTCATTTGAAATGTTCTGTGGCACTGTTTGCATATTAGCTTTTAGTTGTCTACAACCTGTCCCTGATGATCTATGTCAAATATAAAATATCCCCATACACCAGTCTGGTGGCGCACCTGTAGCTGCACCCGCACTTGGCGCTGCCATTCCATGTGTTGTTGTTATTGTTGACTGTGCCTGCCTCCTCCATCTCTTCACGTTTGATGTCAGACTAGGATGCTTGTAGGGTTATTATACTGCACTCATCAGTCTTGGAGGAATCACATTTCAAAAACAAAAAACAAATACCGTCACATTTTCAGAATTTTGGCATCAACTTGAAACCATGAGTTCTCGTGACAACCCTCCTTAGACATGAGAGTTCAGAACTGTCCCTGTGCGTTTTGAAACTGACTTTTTCTTCTGTGACAGTCCATGCTCATAAATCCTCCTGTTAGAGAGGTTAGATTAAATTGCTGTTATCATAGTGATAACATTTTGGAAGTTGGATCACCCTTTTCCCTCTTGGTTTTAGTACATAATCTGCAAAGGGACAGTGTCCTAATCAGCTTTGTTGAAATGGAGCTCTGTGTGTTCTCCATGTCTCACTTCAGCTTCTCTGCCATTCCTCAGGGAACTCAATTATCAGACATTATTCAGGGTTTTATGTAAGCTTTACACTCTTACAAGGGATTTAGAGTTACTTTTTTATGGTATGAAAACTCAAAGTAACAGCAGAACTTCCTTTAACACAGCAAAAGACAGCCAGATACTGAAATTGAGTAGAAAGGTTTTATTTTCTTATTAAAACATCAGGTCTAAGAAACACTTGTTGCACACACAGCCACACACCATAGGACTGTACAGAATCCATTTTGTTATTTTAAATAATTGTACCTAAACTGTTACTCAGCATCATTATAAATTAGGAGCAGCCCTCATTGTTTTCTCATTTTTAAATAAAGGCAATATAACATCCAGTATTGAGAGATATAATACAGGTTACTAGAGCTCATTATTTTAGTTTTGATTTTTCAAACAAAAATCCTGGAATTGATCTTATTTCGATATAAACAAACAATTAAGCAAATTGGGATACATTTAAAATGCTTCCTGCAACTTGCAGTGTGAGTACTGTTATATAACCCTTTATTTATTTTTACTTTGAAGGACTTGAGCAGCATGTAATTTGTATATATTTTTTCACTTCATAGTACTGCCAGATTTTCTGAGTTCTTGCTGGAAGAGGACCAAGTTTACTGAAAACTACAATGATCAGTGTGGTCAATATTATTAAACACCAAATTTTCAGTGAACATGCCTAAAAATCAAAAACAGTCAGCTTTACAGATAAAACATCTGTGATTCTGTTTCAGTCTAATGCCAAACTGAAGCTGGTACGGAGTCTGGCAGTGTGTGAGGAGTCCTCTGGTCCGTTCTCCAATGATGGACCTCCAGAATCGGTACTGTTCTTGTGTCTAACCTTATCCCCTAACTCCTAACCTTAGTCCATACCCTGGAGTTTGCCATTTTTTGTGTTTGACAATACTTAATAGACTAAACAAAATTAGAATTCAAAGTATTACCATCTTTTCTCATAGCAGTGGAATGTGGTTTTCCAGGATATCATCCAGCTTCACATCAGCTGTCCATCGGACAAGGAGGAGGAGAAGTCCTCAAAGGACGAGTATGAAAATGAAGAGAAGGAGAAGAAGGACAAGACTCCGCGAAAGATGCTCTCACGTGGTAAGACACAAATTTGGAAGTGAAATGTATTTTGTAGCCTGTTGTTCTGGTCTTAATCACACCTATGTTGACAACAGTTTTGGTACAATGTATAATCTTACACAACACAAGATTTAAATCTGTCAACTATGAAAAGTGGAGTTGTTTTTTTATTTTTATTTTTTGCTACAAAAATACAATGAATGCTAAATAATAATCTGAATATAGTTAATTAAAATATTCTGCATATTACTGCATTAGTAAATTTAAAAACGGTTTCATTGTATCGTGTCCGTTGCATGTAAATATAATGTCCACTGTTTTATTAGTACCCAAACTAATATGTCAAGCTAATTTCTCCAGAAGATAATTGGATCCCTCCCTCTTCTTTCTTTAATTACCTGCCTCACTCCCTCTCTGCAGAGGCCCTCAGGCGTCATTAGACTCTGAGAGCAACAGAGATGAAATGGCTAGCCCAACTGTCTAGTGTAGTGGAAAATACTGGAAAATGATCCCCGGAAGAGTGTGTTTGTGTGTATTTGTGAAAGCATAGAACAGCTAGCTGGTGTCTCATGCTATCTGCTTCTAATGTTTATCCTCCCTGAACAACCTGGAATGCTGTTGCTGGTGTGTTGAGGTGCCATTTTGGGAGCTATGCTTAGTAGCAATCTGACTTTGCTCTTTCTATCTCACTTGCACTTTACAGAAGTGTCACCTGCTCTGTTTTCCTACTCATTCTGTCAACCCTTTCTTTCTCTAGCCTGTTTATTTACTTTTTTCTTCTCTCTGTTAGACTCCAGTCAGGAATACACTGACTCCACTGGCATTGATGTTCACGAGTTTCTGGTCAACACACTGAAAAACAATCCCAGGTATGAGATTGCCACCAAAGACTGACTGATAGACATGGATGTAATAACAAGAGTACAACAGAAAGTGAACAAAATGTGAAAATGAACTAGATGGAACTGAGCTGTTAATTTACTTTAATTTACTTGGTCATTACACATTTATTTATATTTGGAAAAAGCAAAATGACTTTTGGTCAAGCTGCTTGGTCTAACTAAATAGTACACTTTTGATCATCTTTTATCCAGTATCTTACATCTGTCCTTTTATTAATGTGCTCATTAGGTAAATACTTGCAACAGATAGATTGAGAGAAGTGTGTAGAGGAAGCACTGACTATTACCTGCCTATTATGGAAACACCTAATTGACCAGTCAACAGGCTAATAATATTGTCTGGCAAAGTCAAAGTTCCCCATTCTTTACAAGAGTTTGTAGATAAATTGTTTGTATGGTGTCTTATAACCACAAAATAGCAACATGATTGTGTCCATTTGTTTCAAGGAAGTCAGATTAAAAAAAGAAGTGATTCAACCATTATTAGAGGCATTTATTGCTGTACATCCTACCTTTGATCTTTGGTCGGTATGCTCACAGCTCTGTAGTCACTGACCTGCTCTCCCCTCTGATCTCTCTCTCTGTCTCTCTCTCTCTTTCTCTCCCCCCTCTCTCTTTTCCCCCTTTTGGCCCAGCAGGGATCGAATGATGCTGCTCAAACTAGAACAAGATATCCTGGAGTTTATTAATGACGACAAGTAAGCCACGTTCTTCATAACCTCTCGCTTGTATTTAAATTTAGCTCCTCCACGTCCATTCCTTTTTTATTTATAGACTGCTGAGGTAATGAGATAAATATGGCAAGTTGCAGTTGGTATTATGGGGCATGTTTAGGTCAGTATTTCTGACTAGGACTTTGTGTTATCCTGTAACCAGAATAGTGTTATTAGACTTGATTATTATAAAAAAAAATTATAAGTTTCTGAAAACAGTAAATCATCTTGTCCACAATTTAACCAAATGAGTTGTCTCCATAGTGTGACATCCTGCTGGTTATACACTTCAGAATCTGAAAACAACAACAACAACCTTTTTTTTTTTTTAGGACAATTCTTGTCATGATACAAGACAATGGATGGTTTTTCAGGAGTTGAAAAAATCCCATAATTAGAGTATTTACCACTTCTTACTTTTCTTACTTTTCTAGAAAATATGTAGGATACAGTTTTGTATGAAAAGGGATGTTGTTTCAAACAGCATGGTTAAACTCTTGAAGTGTTCAGAGTCCCTTAAAATGCCAATCCATTCGTCATGTGTACACATAACATTCAACAAAAAAAAAAAAAAACTTAGCAAAAAATTAGCAGTTCATTATAGTGTATACAGTTCATAGCAGTGTTGAAATAACATAGGATACTTACAATTTTGTCTTTTGTGTCCCCCACAGTAACCAGTATAAGAAGTTTCCTCAGATGACTTCTTATCACCGTATGCTGCTGCACCGTGTGGCTGCCTACTTCGGTATGGACCACAATGTGGATCAGACGGGCAAGGCTGTCATCATCAACAAGACGGGCAACACGCGCATGTGAGTGTAGTTCCTTTCCTTTGGTTCAAGCTTCAGCAGCTACAGTCATACAGCTAGGAGAAACTCGGATCTAGAATGTTTTCTAACCTTTATATAGGTATGAATACCATGTTAAAGAAATCACAGTTTATTCTGACTTTTCTCCAGTCCACATACCGGGATTGTGGCTACTGTGTGTAAATGAAGTCAAGGTGGCTATGTAAATAATAAACAACCTCAAGTTAACACAAACTGTCATGGATGAGGTTGCTGTGATAACAGGAGGCACAGCATAAAGGTAACAGGAGAATCCAACAGCCATCATTTCTGTTCAGGCAGGATGAAGAACAGCCTGAACCAAACATTCAACAGAACAGCAACATATAACTGAATGGAAAGTTTTTCCGTTGAAAGCTGGCAGAGTATCAATACACATGAGAAATGAAACCAATGTAGGCCCTATATACACCTAACTGATTCAACACAACACCCCGAAGAATGGCAAAAACGCAGTGTCCTTTCCATACTGTTTGTGCACTTGAGGCAGAAAGAGAATTTAGTCATTTAGCAACCAGGAAGTTGTTTGAAGTTATGTTATACCCCACAGCTACTAAGTAAAATACGTGTAGATTATAAATGTAACTGGTAATTTTGGAAAAACATACCTGTTGCTTCACAAAGCACCAACAGTTGAGCCATTGCATCTTTTAATATGTAAATTTTTATGGTTAAAAAGTATTAGTAATCAATACAATATTTCCAAATGTGTTAAAATATTACAATTTTCCATCGTGCTTAACAGAAGAGACTGGCTGATCCCAATCAGGGGCATTTACACATTTAAATCATGAAAGTCTAACAATCAGGACAAACAAAATCTGGGCAGATTTGATTTACACATTCTGAAGTACTAATATTGCTACATTCACTGTGAAACTGCTTTTAAACACCCATTTTTGTTAAAAACATTGCTTTTGTCCTTTTTATTTGTTCTACAGCCCAGAGCAAAGGTTCTCTGAACACATCAAGGATGAACGTAACATGGACTTCCAGAAGAAATTCATCCTTAAAAGAGACGATGCCAGCATGGACAAGGATGATAATCAGGTTGACTGCACTATATACCATGATATTTTTGAACTGTTATCATATTCACTATCCATTTCTTTCATTGTTGCCAGATATGTGTGTTTAACAATTTAAGACTGCATTTTTGAGATGGTCCTTTTTCTTAGCCCTGGGAAATTCTTGCTGCAGCTTGTTGCATCAGTTGGAGATGGATCCCACAAGTGTTGTTTCAGCAGAAGTAGAGGGACACAGTAGTGTGACTGTTTATTATCTTTTCCAGCTCAGATGAAAGGAGGCAAGGTCTGTTTGTGATGGCAACTAAGCTGTGAATCAAACACTCACTGATGTCTAATACTGAGCCCCCAGAATAGTTGGGCAGAGTGGTTTCATCAAGTACTGCAGCACCATTTTGGCCCAGCCATGTGTTAATAATTTAATACATCTTATTCAAATGAAGGCATATAACTTCACAGATAAGTCTCACTAGATTTATCAATGGTAGCTATGTGTAACGGCATGCAAAGTCTGAGCAGTGATTACTGTACATTATTGTAGTTACACAGTTGGCTGGTGGGTGTGGAACATCCATTCCAACAGAGAACGAAATTGGCCCGTGAAAGGAGGTTTAACAATCTCTAAGACCTGGGTGGTACCGAGGTACCAGTGGTACCAGTAATGGAAGACACTCGGCCCCCAGCTTTTGGTTGTGTATGTTAAGTCCAATGTTTGTCAGTGATAACGATATTATGCTGATTGGACAATATCATGTTTCTTGTGAACACAATATTTTTGGTTGTGTTAAATTGCTGATGATAAATTTAAGGTTAGAATTGCAGATGGCATGATACCACTTTGCTTTGTTACTATGCAGTAACTTGCACGTTCCTGGTACTGTCTCTTAAAATGACACACAGTATACACTTTTCCTCCTCCACTGCTCCTGATTCGCTGTGTGTGAGCCACAAAACAGTTTAGCCTGAAGCACCGCTTTTTGAGATGCAAAACCTGAATCTATCCAGCGTGCTGTCAGACTTAGCAAAGACACAAGACACACATTTAAATTCTGTTATGAGGTATAAACTCACTACTGCAACGTTTTCCGTTTGTTTCAAAAGGAACTTGATACCAAGTGTGTACAGACGTGCAACAGTAGGTTCTGAGGTTTTGAATTAGGCATCGAGACTCTACTCTCAAAAGACTCCACTATGTACTTTGTGTTCTTTGTTTTGATGGTAGGCAACGGCTCTTTATCACATGCTGTTGTCATTATCTTTTAACTTGTTTCTACTTATCTTTACACAAATCAACAAACTGTGGCTATATACGTATTTGCATAAAGTTCAGGGTGTATTTGTTAATTGAGCATATTAGATTGTAACTTTATTTATTTTATTCATTTATTTTTTGGTATGATTGTTTTCACAAATGTTAGATCCGTGTGCCACTGCAGGATGGGCGGCGTAGCAAGTCTATCGAAGAGCGAGAGGAGGAGTATCAGCGGGTACGAGACCGGATCTTTGCCCGAGAAGTAAGTTTTGGACCTGGGCAGATTAACACACAAGGACAAATTAACATTAAATCACAAGCCATTTCATATCCATTAGCTGTTATCTTCAGCTCTTTGATAAGAGAAAAATCAGGACATCTTAATTAGAATAGAACTGTTTAACTGGTGTAGTGGCGATATTTATACCTGGTTCCCAACATTTTCTGCTAGTGACCCATTAATACAAAGCAGCCTTTACATGTGACCCCTCATCACAGGGAGCACGTCTGTGAGTTGTGAGCAGTTTGTTTGAAGAATGATTTTTATCTTAGCTTTAGGTGACAGTGCTATAAGTGAAATGCATACACAACTTCTGAAAGGTTGACATACACAGAATGTTGGTCTTAAGTGCTGCTGGTTGAATGAAGCATTTCATAATGTGCAGGTGTCATTTTTTTTACAGTCCTCTCAAAATGGATACATCAACGACAGCAGGTAAGATGATGAATCCTACTGGAGACTCTCATTTGTGCAATATATAAGACTCCATTCTGTTCACCTATCCCCTTGAAATTAGTTTGCTTGTTAGGTTTCAGTTATGAGTGTTAGCAGGCTATAGAGCCATAAACATAGCATACCTAGCAGAGTATATGTTGATTCTTCTACAAATCTGAATTCCTGGAGTTTACAAAGGTCTGGCAAATTTGACCTTGTGTAATGTTTGCTGTCAAAGGAGAATTCACAAAAGCAATATACAAACATACAAAAGTAATAGTTGCTTTATTCTTGTCATTTTCTGGCAAATGTCCAGTATGCATTTGCAGATGTTTCTCTTGTATGTCAGATTTTTATATCTAACATTTTTTTCAATTTTTTTGTTTTATTAGGAAAAGGGTTTTATGCTGAAACTGACTATGAGGGACACACTGTCTTGAAGAAAGATTTGTATGTAGTAGAACTAATTTTTTCTAGAAATAAGTTGGCTCACACAGCAGATACAGCCAGCCTCCATCCCAAGGCACCCTGGCCATTGAGGTTGAAAGATTAGTACATAATATGCTGAGAGAGAGAGAAAGAGGAAGCGTGGGCTTTTCAACAGTCAATTTCTGCCTTGTGTGCATTTTTTTTTTCCTTTTTTCTTCTCAGGGGTAAAACTTCTACACTACTGTGCCTACCTCTACCTCCCACTCATCCTTATCTCACCCTTCCTTAAAACCCTCTCCTGTTCTTCAATCCAGCCCTGTAACCCTAGCATTTTCTCCTAATGTTAACCCCAACAGACTTTCCACTGAGGGCTACTGCTCTAGCTCTCAAAAGAGGAGGCAGATCTTTAGGTATTGGGGTGCTGCTGACTTTGACTTGTGTGTTGCCATGCCCATTTTTGAAAGTGATTTGGTGATGATAGTGGTGACTTGTGGTGGTTTTTATATCTTTGCTTGGTGTAGTCGGCTGATTGATGGCTATTCCAGCACTGCACCGTGGGGCTTCCCATGGCCCATGCATGGCTGCTTTGTGGTTTCACTGGGGACTGATTGACCTACTTAACCATCCACCGTCAACTACATTTTTCTATAAAGTAACTGCATTGCTTTCACAGTAACCTGTTTGTTTTGTGGTTGACTTAGTCTTGTAATTTTTGTTAACATGTCACCTGTTGCATAGTAGCGCAAAAATGTGTAAGCAGTACATCCATGAAATAGTGCTGTTAAACTGACAGTGAAATGTAACTGACAAAAGGAAAATAAGAAAAATTAGACCGTGAAGTAGAACACTGTATTAGAGGCCAAGTTGTTTATTTATTTTGACCCCCCCCAAAAAAAAGATTTTCAGTTTACTATAAACCAGCAAATATTCATATTTTAGAAGATCAGTTAAACTAGCACTTCTTTTTAATTGTTAACTATCATATAATCAAACTTATTGATCTATAGTACAACTATCTATACAACTATATATATTTATATATCTATATATAGATATACATTTTTGTTTTGATTGTATAAAAGTATGAAGTCTATACTCTGCTGTTTATAAACATTGTTGCTTGTGTGCATCATGTAATTTAGAGGCTTTAGAATTAGCTTTTAGATATAGCCAACCTTTAATTTTTTTTAAGCTTTTCGTATATGTTTTATTTGCCTTGTGTAGTTGTAAGATATTTTTCATCATCAACCTTTGAATCATGTAATTATTTGGTGACTGTATGTTTGAAGTTTTTATTCTTAGCCTTTTTACACTTAACCATTTTTAGTGTGTTAGGTGTTAAAGACTGAGAGTGGTGGAACCACATAACAACAACAGCCTAGATTCCCTGCTTCTCCTGTTTGTGATGGGCAGTGCTGTCGTGAGGAGAGAGAGAGGAGATAAAATATCATGTGATGAACAGCAGAATCCCTCCTCTTCTACCTCCTCCTGCTCATCCTGCTCTCATCTTTGTCTGCAGAGCAAAGCGAACAAGTGTGTGTGCCTGTACAGAGAATGGCAGAGCAACCACCCTTCCTTTAAGTAGGCTGTGCAGAGAGAAGACTCAAAATAGATCCTCCATTAATTACAGTCTCTCTGAAATATTTATCAGCCACAGCCACTCACTATCACTAGGGTTTTACAACCCTCACCACATCCCCGTTTTCGTCATGGAGATTCCCACAGTCAGCCTTACATGTTTTGAATTCATTCTACTCGTTCCCTCTACATGGACATGCTCGCTCATATCCCTCTTTCAGTCCTTAGAGGATGAAAAAACCAAGTGTTTACTTGCTGTTTTTTCTCTCTCTGCTGTCTTCACTGCAGAGTGGTCGGTGTGTACACCTGCAAGGCTTTCTGTCTACATTAAATTCAGTACCTATACCACAGTATTTATAGCAGCTGACACATTTTTCTTTTTTGATTTTCATCTTTATTTAAATTTTTTATATTCAAGCACAAGCACTGTCGGACATGTTCAAATGGAACGATAATATTAATGTTGACATGTCAGTGGCAGACCCGACCATTTACTTGTGATGGAGGGGTTGCCCCAGAGTGGTGGTTACGCTTACAGTATGATCATTGGTTTTCTTGGCAGCTGCCCTTATCCAGGGTGACAGCATCACAACAACACAATGAGTGTGTATACAGCAATATAGTTTAAAAAAACCATAGTGGTGAACCAGTGGTAGCAAGTGGTTATTTTGTAGATAGTGTGTGTGAGTCTGGGTGTTGATGTACATCTTCTCTTGATGTCTGATTGTTTGTGTAAATCTGGTATTAATTTACAGGTGTATGTGTGTCTTGTTTCTATGTCATTCTTTGTCTTCAATACAAAGTGTTTTAAGCGCATGTGTTACTGTTCATTTTTATTCAAATGTATAACTCATATGTATGCAAGTATTCTGTCATTCTGGATAGTCCTTTATGTGAATGTTGTCTCTGGTCTTAGATGGTTTGTGTGTTGAATTCATGGAGGTTTGTCTCATCTAGTGTCGCTGTAATATCCTCCTACACCCTGGTTTTGATTGTCTGGAGCATCTTTTCTCCCTGCATGTTAGTTTTCCTCTGTGGATGGGTTTGTGTGTGTGAATGTGTGTGGTTGTATGTTTAAAATTGGAGATAATATTGTTTGGTGGCTTGTTGCCTGATTTTGTATCGTGATTTCACTAAACTATCCAATATGCATCTGTGTTGAATGCCTCATCCTAAAGCTCAAACTGTCAAACTTGTCAAACTGTCTTTACTACCTGTTGATGACCTTCCCCTGCTCTTCTGCTTCTGCTCTCCCCCCCTCTGTCCTATTCTGTCTTTCTTTCTACCCCAACCTACCTTCCTTTCTGCTTCACATGTTCACATCTTCTCTTTTTCAATATGTTCTTCATCTTACCCTTATACATTTTTGTCTCTCTCCTTCTCTGTCTTCTTATTCTTCTCTCTGTAATTTGCATATCTGTCACTTTCTACCCCTTAACCATCCTCGCTTTAACTCTGTTATTTCACCTCTTTCTTTCCCCCCTTTCCTGCATCTATCCCCATTTTGTGCCCATCATTTCATCTCTTTCTCTGTCTCTTCTTCCTCCCTGTTCTGTCTTCTCTCAGAGGGAATCGTGAGAGCTCTAGCCGGGCATCTAGCAGTCGTCAAAGCAGCACAGACAGTGACATGAAGTGCCTGGAGCCGCGGCCTTGGAGCAGCACCGACTCAGACAGCTCCAACCGCACCCTCCGGCCGCCCGTCACGAAAGCCAGCAGCTTCTCTGGCATATCCATCCTTACCAGGGGGGATAGCCTTGGCAGCAACAAAGGCTCACAGGGAAGCTGCAAAGGCTCTCGCTCTGGTAAGGACTGAGGAGACAAGTTGGGGAGAAAGGAGACATCTAGGTCTCTCCAGTGTAGGTCACTAAAGCTAGTTGTACTTAACCTCTTACTGAAGTATTAGCTTTTGCTATCCATTATGATTATTGCTACTGAAGCGACCATGGCATAAAGAAATGTGTTGCCCTGAGTCATGCATACCCTTTATATTAAGTGTAATGTCATAATACATATGTTATGACTTATGGTCATTGTAGTTAATGAATGGGGGAAAAACTATATAGTACTATATTGGCCTTACTTTAACCCTATTTATAAGATGACACCCTCTTTTCTAACAAACTGACATGGAAAATGCATTTTGAATGCTTTTTCTTGAAAAAGAAAAGTGAAATGTAAATACCACATTTGACTGGCTTAGTCCAACAGTCAAATACTTGCACACACTTGTGTCATTCTCCTGGAAGTGGCCAGAATGATTTTCTATATCTGTTGGAATTTTTTCCTTTTTTTTCCTCATTATGAAATTCTGTGACATCTGTAACTCTTGGCTGCTTGACAGATGATGCAAAATATGCAGTAGAGATGTCCGGAGACTCATTTTCCTTTTCTCATCCAGCAGGTTAAAATGGGCTTACTAAACACTTTTAGGGTTAACTCTTAAGAGACGCACTATAAGACATTAAAGCCGCAATCAATCCATAATGCTACGCTAGCATTACACTGGCACTTGCTCCTTTCAAAAAGAATGTGATTTTGTAAATATTACCACCCTAGCCTTTTCAAACATGTCATCCAGGAAAAAAATATTGTCTTACATTCAGCTTATTTAAATTTCCCTGCAAGTTAAAACAATCGGGGACCATTTGTAACTATAATTTAACTCCAGGTCCTAAACATTTAAACTAGAGACAGTCTTCACTTTTGCTGAGATTTTAACTTGAGCTTGCATTCTACCGGTCTGGTAAACATACATTATTTTATAAGATATAATAATAATACAAGAATACTTACCAAGACATTATTGTAATTCCCTTGGTTTCATAAATAAAATTGCTTTAATAGGGAAGTTTTTTGGGTTCATCATTTTTGCTCAGCACAGAAATGAATGAAGAAATTATTTCCTATATCTATCATGTCTTTTCTTGCGTCATTAGGCCTGCCCCTAGTCAGTCCTGATGTGTGTCCCCCACCCGCAGCCTCCCAGTCCAGCCGTAGCCTGCTTCCCTGCCCATCACAACAGCCACAACAGCCACAGCCACAGCCACAGCCCCAGGCTCCACCTCAGACTGCCCTGCTGCCCACCCCACAGCAACACCCCATGGGCAACCACATGATTGCTCAGGTAAGTACCTTCACCACCTGTATTTATGTCAACCATACCACTAACAATGAAGATGCACTTTCAAGCTACAGAGGATCCAATTTTAATCAGGGGGTCAATAGCTTTAGTGGTCTTTTGTCCACATTCCTTCTCTGATAGGGTTAGTTATTAAGGTATTGTCACAAATGAGGGTGGAATTTGGTCACATATAAGGAGGAGGAACTTCGAGCAACAATATGAAAGTTTTTGACAGTCAATAACAACATGTCTGATAGCAGCCATTTCCTTTCTTGTTTCTCTCTGAGTAGAAGAAATTGCATTTTTTGTATGCATTGATTTATTGCTTTTGTATAATATTTAGAAACTACATTTGATTTCTATTTCTATTCATCTGTTCATTAACAACTTTTCCTCTGTGTTCTAACCCATATCTTTCCTATGTCTTAAATTCTCTTTATTCCCTTCTTTCCGTTTGCTTCTGTCGCCCTCTTTCTCACTGGCTTGCTCCATTCTCTCTATGCTCTACCTCTTTATTTCCTTCCTATTCCTGGTGGTGTGTATAGCCGGTGGCATCTCTGCAGCCCTCTCAGCCTGTCTCCTACTCCAGTCCTTCCTGCCCCCAGGTTCTCCTGCCAGTTTCTCCTCCCCAGCAGTACACAATGGTACTGACACCTCTTGTAGCGTCATCTCTTGATAGTAATTCAGTTAAAGACTGCATAACTGTCACTATCACACTTCACACTTAACTAATGCTGTATTCTACTAAAAAACTCTGGCACTCTATTACCCTGCTCTTATTCACATCTGTGTGGTATTTAATCACATTGATGGAAGAATTATGTCTTTGCTGCTCTGAACCAGTCAAGTATGACTTTCTCTCAGGCTGCATACCTACCTGGAATTCCCTGAGAGACTGGAACGAGAAAGTGTTTTTGCTATTCCAGGATGTTAATGAAAAAATGAAGTGACACAAAGACTAGATGGTACAGAATTTGTATTCTTTAATGTGAAAAATATACCGTGGCATTCACTTCTCAAATGAATCCATACAATCATGGATTCTCATCTTAGTTAGCTAGACAAGCATGTTCTGCCATGAGCAATGTTTCTATAGACCCAAACTTTACAGGAACACTATATTTTGGGAAATATACTAGTTTTCTGTCAAACCCACAGTCAGACGTGAAGATCAAACTACAGAACTGTGTCCTTAGGTTTAGCTCACAATATTGCCACCATTACATCCAGGTATTGGTGTTGTACAGGATTGCCAAACATTGTACTGGATGCAAAGAGAACTTCTCTTCTTACACCTTGCAAAATGGCAGATGGGTATTTTCCAAAATGGTGCTTAAATGCTCATGTCTCTGTTGGTAATGATCTGTGCTAGTGATCACTCTCTGATAGATCACTCAGTTAGACCTTATACTACAGCTCCAAAATTCACAAAAGGTACTGATATATATGTACCAACTGCAAATGACCACTAATGACATCATTCCCATTCCTCCCAGGGAGAAGAGCTGGCGCCCCAGTTCAGCCAGATGACACTGAGTCGGCAGGGCTCCAGTGAGAACCCTGAGCCTCCCCCTATGTATCAGGCTCCTCCCACGGTGCTGTCCCAGCACCCCCCTCCTCAGACCAGCTATATCATGGCTACCACGGGTCAGCCTATGCCGCCCCCGTCTGGCTACCAGCCTGCCACTGGACACCCCCATCCTCCACCTCCACCACCCCCTCCATCTCAGCCAGTCATGCAGGCTCCACCGCCCCCACAAGGCTACATGCAGCCTCCTCCACCTCAACAGGTACAACATTCTCAGGCATCAGGCATGAGTTAAAATTCACTTCTCAAATTTTTTTTTTAGGTTTTGTTTGAATGTTCTTAGAATACCAATGAAAGGAATAGTACTGTACCAGTGAAATATTTTGATATAATTCTGGGACCTCCCATGCTTGGCACTGGTAATCTTGAGTTTATGATAAGTAATAGTAATTGGTCCCAGGTCAGCAAAATAGACTGAAGTACTGTTCCCTTCATTTGTGTAGCAAGTCAGGCTTTCAAATTTCCAAGGGTACACCCGCAGAGAAACAGAGCACATAAAATAAACTGAATTTGACTGTGATGTCTCTTTGTTCTAGGGCCATCATGCTGGGCAATTAAAGTTTATTTGGAAGTCTTAATTTGATATTCCACACATGCAGAGGGGTTTCCCTGCTTTCCAAGCCAATACAAATGTTTCATAATAAGAAATAATTTAGAGCTTCAACAGTTGACACCGGGCATGCCTAAATAACAGGTCATCTACCAGGACAGATCCTAGGAAAGAGATCACATACTCACTTTCACCATAGCTAAAATGTAAGCAGTTAGTTATTGGTGGAAGTCTGACTAGCCAGTTGCTTGACTTTTGTTATTTGAAGAAATCCAAATTTTTGTCAAAAAAAATTAGGATGAGACTTCTCCATTGAAATATTATCACTGTTAATGCTTGTGAACTGCTTCAAACTTGTTCACAGCCAATTTGAAGATCAGCCCTGACTTCTGGAAGTACTGAATGGCGCACTTGAGCACTTATCGCAGGAACACCATGTAACTCAGGGCTGTGGCTGACAGTACATATATGTGGTGATGATAATGCACAGTACCAATATTTATCCATTTTATCTATTACAGTATATTTGTGGGGTATAGGAGTGAACCTTATGCATAAAAGTAACATCTTAGTGACTCACAGCATTATCTTTTTTTCATTATGTTAATGTTCTTTTTTGCAAAAGTATTGAAAATCAGATTAAACATTAACGTAAATATCAAAAGGAAACCTACGTTCATTTAACAGTTAACTGTTGTTTTTAGTGTTTCCCAGAAGAAAATCCTCTCCTTTACAAAATATGTTGTCTTAGGCCTTTCAGATCTCACACAGACCTCTTTTGGATCATTTATGACAACTGTGATCCACAATAACTGAGAATTTTGGTTATACATTATGGTTATAGAGGAACGATAAACATTATTTACACATGAAGAATTAGAAATAGCTTCTGGATGTTTTATAATAGCTCTGTTGCTTTGAAGCTTTCGCTTCACTATATTTTGTGAATGGAAGAGTTACATTACCACTATGGCCAAACATGATGCATCTAATTTCTGGCAGCAAAGGACATTGTTTATGTCATTGTGCGAATGGTCACATTGCATAAACATAATATTAAATAAGGAGCTGCTACATATCCTGGAACAGTTCAGTTTTAACAAATGCATTTGTGAAAAAGTATTTTGTGTTTAAGTATGAATTTTTCCTTTAGATTTCAGTTCATTACAAACACTCTCTCACGAGCTTCATTCATATCGGACTGTTCCTGCTTCCAGATTTTTGCTACTGTGGAGCATCATGTTCTTTACACCTCATTAATTAGTGTTAATGTAAAGATTTGTTAATGAAAGAGAACAGTACGCTGTGTGATCATCCCTGCACCTTGTTAACACACAGATACAGAGAGATTAGGCCTGATTGCGTTCTTTAATTTAACATTGAGAAAGTGATATGAGAGTCTTTATGGTGGTTTTCCATTATAGGAACTTAAATGCAACAATAACTGTCATTCACCATCCCTTGTAATGACAGAGCTAAACGACAGAATCATGTTTTCTGCTGCTGCTTCTGTTATAAAATAAGGTAAAATAAGGCCCAGCTATTACAGTTAAACAATATCACACTGTTTTCTTGTGAGTAATCGTTTTCCTGGCACAAGGAAATAACTTGTTTAATTGACAATGGCTCAAGCCAGCTCTTCTCACAGTAAATACATAGTTTCTGTTTCAAGCTGTGGTGCAGGTATGCCACTTGTCTCTCACTAGAAAATTTCCAAAAAATGTGTCATCATAACCTGAGTTCTTGTATCAAGTGTCAATTATTGACAAAAATAGAGCCCAGTGTGCCTTGATTTGCTTGAAGTGCTGGCCAATTGAAAATGCAACACCATAGATGTCACATCATTCTCCTTTGCCTCTTGTCTTTCTCTGCTTTGTAAAAACCCCAATGCTTTATTTTAAGGGTATGTGATTTCTGAACAACGTCAAAGTCATTTAATATGTTTCCTACAAAGAACCAGGTAATCTGGTACTAATTACAGGAAAAGTTGTAATTTCCATGAAAGCACTGCTCCAAAACCCGAGAAAATCTTCAGTCATTAGGCACTTACTTTATTTCCTTTTAATATGTTGAACTGCATGCTTGCCTGTATACAAATTTTATACTTGCGCATTTTCACCTTATCTGCTCTGCTTTGATTTAAATAATAAATAAAAATAGATGCCGTGAAAATCACAAATTAAAAAGATCAAGTTCTTGGAAAGGTGGAAAAATTCAGATATTAACTTTCTTATGTACACTTACAGACTGAGGTGTGACATGTCAGCGATGTGATTCCTGTGAAGTTGCAGGATTCACCCAGTGGGGAGTTTGGTCCTCTCACTCAGAGCGCTGTGTGTCACCTTCACAAGCTCAGTCTCAGTCAGCAAGCCTGTCACATTCTTCAGATTGCAGAGGCGGTGACAATAATGAGTTCTCTCACTCGCTGTCACTCACACACTTCCTTCCCTCTGTCAGGCCTTTGCTTGAATCCATGAAATAGTTATTATAATTCATTTGAGGAAAGAGAACTAAATTGACCTGGCCATTAAACACCCTGTGGGAGACATTAGGCCCTGTGAAGTAGCTCTGGGGCTAAGCTGTAAAAGAAGATAATCTGTTTAGTAGAGATTTAATAGCTGAAGTCACAATTTTTTGTTTATTTGAAGGGAATCAGGTGTGAATAGTATTTCATTAGAGCAGGTAAATCATGAGTGAAGTACACTATCCCAGAACCAGGGGGACTTTTTCACAGTAGGTAATTGAGGATTTACTGGAATCAGGTGGACATTTTAAAGTACCCAATAATTGTAGTGCTTTTATGTTGCTTTTGTGCATATACTTGCTTATTGGACCTCAAATGATAAATGCATTGTTCATATATCTAACTATTTGCAATCTTGCAAATAGTTTTTAGATATTCCTGCACTGTAAAACCTAACAATTTTTATAACTGATCCATCTTGTCTCTTGTTTTGTCTTTTCATAGCTTTCGTTCTCCTTGCTTTTATTTTGTAGTTCGCTCTGACCTATATAGACAGTGGCTTTTCATGGCTTTTATCACCCTACACACCTTTCTATATTATCCTCACACTTAGATCTCTGTACTTGTATAAACAGTATTGGCTGGGAAAGGAAGATGCACTGTGTTGTTCAATGTGTGGGTGGTCGGCAGTGTAACAGGAGTGCAAATATTGACACCGCTGCAGCCGCTAGATGGGTTGAATGTTGTCATGTATGCAGATGAAGGTGGAGGCAGAACATATCGATCCTCCTAACATTCATCTTATTCTGTTTTTCCATTTGATGTCTTGTTTGGAAATTCTTCATGCTACATTTAGAATGGCTATGTTAGACACAAGCTGTTCCAGCTAGTACTATGGACACGTACAGCTATGAAACTACTGTGAACTGCTAGAATATTCTTGTTTCTGTGCATCATTGTTGAAGAAGCACAGAACAGAGTTCTCGGGGATATTGTTTTAAAGTTGCTATAATTTTATTTTTACAATGGATCATATGACAATTTGTATGTGAAAGGGGTCTCTCACAGTTTTTAACCTTGCTGCTTTGGTTCTGTCTCATCTGTCATCTCTGTTAACTATCTTTTAATTTTTGTCGCTGCTCTTTTCAACAGAAAAGCTGTAAAAACTGACACTATGCTACCTGTCCAGCAACAAACAGCATACAGACAAAGTTAGTGAGTAGCTGGTGAACACAGTGTGGCATTAAGTCAGTAAAGAGCCAGATATTAACTACATGAGCTGGTGGAGAGCAAAAACAGAGCTAAGAGAGTGAATACTGGACTTTCATTCATCAGATGGACAGAAACATGACTTCAAATGAATGTTAATGTTGCTCTGTACATGCTGGACGTGTAAATATGTAACTGTTTGCTAAGAAGTTTGCCAAATCAATGTAGAAGATGATAACATGTGAATGTAGTGTTTCTAGCATGTTTCCACTGCCCCCAGATGGCAAAAAAAAAAATCATAGGTTTTATGTCTTAAGCTATAATAGTGAGGTCTAACAAGATTTTTTGCTCAGCTTTTTACACTAACTTGCAATTTGTTCCTTAGTTGCTTTTTAAGTATTGAATATTTATGAAAACCTTTTTAAGAGCATAAATCTGCAGTTTTAAATGTTTTCTTAAATGTCTCAAGAACCTGATTCTCTGGCAGAAAAAAAAAATCAACTCATGCCATTTGTCTCACTAAGTCTGTGGTCTTTGTCTGGGGTCTGCAAAAACTGGTGGCAGTGCTATGAAATATATGAGGGGGTCCTCAGTGTTGTTTCTCTGGGGAATAAGGTCGAAGGAAACTGATATAAGTCGGTGCGATTCAGCAACAGTTTTCTTCTCCTCTTCAAACTGTGTTTATTACTTTTTAAACCGTTTTTTTTTTTTGTGTGTTTTTTCTTTTTTAAACCGTTTTTTTTTTTGTGTGTTTTTTCTTTTTTAAACCGTTTTTTTTTTTGTGTGTTTTTTCTTTTTTAAACCGTTTTTTTTTTTGTGTGTTTTTTCTTTTTTAAACCGTTTTTTTTTTTGTGTGTTTTTTCTTTTTTAAACCGTTTTTTTTTTTGTGTGTTTTTTCTTTTTTAAACCGTTTTTTTTTTTTGTGTGTGTTGTTTCTCTTCAGATACAGGTGTCATACTACCCTCCTGGTCAGTATCCCAGCTCAGGCCAGCAGTACCGTGTGCCCCAACCCATGTCCCACCAGGTGTCTTATCCTGCCCAGCGCACACAACCCATGCCTCAGCCCACACAGCAGTCAGGTCAGTACATTGTGCTGTGTTGTATTCTTGTCTCCATAAATGACTGGATATATATGGATTACTACTGTACATGTAGATATACAGTATTAGTGTTTCCTGTATATTGTTCTAAAGATATTGTTAATTGTTGTTCACACGCACACAGTCTTTTTGGTGCTTGATATTTTTAAGTGTTCACATATAGTCTTACCACAATAAAAAAGAATAGAGCTAAATTATGACATGAAAATATCCTAAATCATCCAAAATGAATCCAGAGCAGTATCATCTTGTCCCTGAGCTAAAAACTGCTAAATCATACTCAGTGTCAAGTCTAACAGGTGAAAGGTTGATTTTAAACAACCTTGGTCCTGCATTGTGCTGCCAAGTCAAATATGCTCAGACCAAAATAGAGCTCTGTCTTTTATTCATGGAAAAGCCTTGACAGCTTTATCCTTCAGTCTTTTTCATTTAGAGTCTGTGAAGACTGGCTCTGTGTTTATACAGTAAATGACAGATAGACATTGTTGACAACTTAAATGGACTCTGGCTCGTAGCAGAGGCCTGCCAAAACCACATGGATCATGAAGTTGCAGCCAGTTGCATCAATCCAAGGCTGCTGCCTGGTTTGAAATAAGAGTTTTGTGATGGTGAAGATTTATACATAAAGAAACCATGAACAGTGTGAATTAAGCCCCTCTGGACTGAAATAATTTTCTTCAACTCCCTTCACTCCCTCCACCAAGGAGGTTATGTTTTCATCCATGTTTGGGTGTTGATTTGTTTTTTGGTTTGTTCATTTCTCAGCAGGATTACGCAAAAAGACTAAAGTGATTTGCACCAAACTTGCCGGAGGGATGGGGCATGGGTCAGGGAAGAACCCATTAAATCCAGGAACTTTCCATAACATTGCAAGATGTCAACATTTTTGGCAATTTCTCAGGAAATAGTGTATGGGTCTTCAAATCGGACATATTTCTGGTGTTGATCTACGAGTTTTTACAGTTTCGTGAATCCACATTACAACCGGAGTTGTATTATTATTATTATTAGTGAATATGGCACCAGCAGCGTTTTGCAGTGCTTATAGTAGTATTTAATTCAACATGCAACTAATAAAATTACTGAATAACAATAGTGGTTGCAAAATAGCAATGAGACAATGCATACAATAATTATATAATGTTGATGGCATCTTTTCACACAACAAGTAAAACCATACAGCTGTCCTGTGTAAGGATTAAACTCAATAAATAAATAAGGCTAAGACATGTAGGATTGTTTGGGATGGCAGAGGTGTTTGCTCTACTAAATGCCATTCTACATTGATTTTCTCCTCAAAAGCAATGGCTCACCCGCCAATCCCAATTTCCCCTCTCTTGTGCTGTGCTCCATCTTTACCACCCTTGCAAAATTTTCTTCTCCAATTGTTGTCTGTTGCCATCAGGTCTCCAGACGATGATACCCAGCCAGCAGCCGAGCTACCAGAGCATGATGGGTGTGCAGCAGCCCCAAAACCCTGGTCTGCTCAATTCTCAGAGGGCAGGCATGGGGGGACAGATGCAAAGCATAATGGTCCAGTACCCACAGATGCCATCATATCAGGTATGGATGATTTTAATTCAGCCATAAGGTGTAACTTGTTGTTACAGCACGTTTCTTTTTTTTAGTCGTTATTCACAATGGGTTGCTGTATTTTTTTTTGTTTGTTTGTTTGTTTTTCCACAAAAACTCCTCTTGCATAATAGGTTTCAGATCTTTATAATTTTTGATACAAACATATTCTGAATTCTTTCAATATAGATTCATAACGAAAAATTAGAATCAATTGCCAGTCAGTCTATACTAGTACAGTAGTAATGTATGGGGGGAAAAACTCAGTAACTTTTCCAGATACTTTTGCAATGCTCACGGACAAAAAAAGATGAAAAACAACAGACATACAGTCTTAATTAAAACAGAGCAACACGTATTGGACCAAATCAGATATAATAGTGACTATGTCACAGGTCTGGTATCCCTCTGTTAGTCTTGTCTTCATTTCTCCTAACTTCTCTAACTTTGGCAGTCGTGAGGTAAATCATCAATTATTTTTACCTTTTCCTAAAAACTTCTTCTCGTTTGACCTTTTACCCAGGTGCCTGTGGGAAATGAGAATCAGCAGGTGGTGCAGCAGCAGTACCAGCAGCAGGTGATGGTACCAGTCAGCCAGTCTGTCCAGGGGCCCATGCCTGTCTACTACAGTGTTATCACACCCACACAGCAGAATAGCACAAGGTATGTATGAATATATCATATTTGTACAAAAGAGTTGTCATTGGTATTGAAATATTTCAAATTATATCCAGCCTTCTGTGGAAAAGATATACTGTGCATTAAATGTAAGCATCCGACACTGTGATGACTGAAGCTGTTGCAGTAGCAGCCACAGGTTTATAGGAGCATTCCTTCATATCAATAAAGCAGTTTTTTCTACTCTGTTGTAATTACCATCTGCATGAGCAAGATGTAAATGCTTGAGCTCTGGAGTTTTCTAAATGAAGTTGCAAAATTCAGTATGAGTACAACCAATTTTACTTTGAGTGCATCTGCATCCTTCTGACCAATGTCTGTTAAAGAAACCAACAATAACTGTAATGTAACCTCAGCAGAGTACGAATGTTATATGCTAACAGATAACTGCTAAACATTGAGATTTCAATCCTAGGTATACATATATGAAAATTTTGTTGATTTAAAATTTGGATATCCCTGTAATCGTCTTCTCCCCCTTTGTATGTTTCTCTCCTGAAGCCCGTCAGTAGGATATCTGCAGCCCCCCAGCAATGAGCAGTATCAAATCACACAGTCGCCGTCCCCCTGCAATCCTCAGCAGTTGCAGCAGCAATATTCAGGTGAGTACAGTGAAGATGTTGTGACCATTAGTAATGTATTTTTACCCATTATTTTAGCTTTTTAAAGATTTAATTTTCTTTTAACTATTTAATTTGTGGGCATTATTCTCTCAAAACAGATTCCTTTAGTATTTATCATACAAGTGACATTCATAATACATGCATTATGTTGTTCTTTAAAACTGTAGATCTCAAAATCAAAGTTAAGCCCACTGCAAAGTTGGTGTTGCTCCAAAAACAACTGAGAAAAAGATGCATCACCTTCCATACTGTTGTCCGCTACTGAACATGGTGATAAGACTGGCCAGGTTGTACACCTGTTGTAAAGTTATAATGTCCTTTATACCTAGTAACCCTACATTGACTAATAGTAGAGTTGAAACTTGGAACTGTCCTTTTATAAAATCAGGTGAAAGGTATTCAGGGAAAAGTTCAGTCACACCGTGTTCACACGCTGAGCATGCAAATCGATATCCTTAAAAAGGTCATGTTTGAAGAAATCAGGGAAAACCTAAACCTCACAAAGGCCTTGTGTTCCCATTTACCCTTAAGTAAATGTTGATCATGGTCACGTTATCCTTTCAACCTCAGCTGTGTTTGTGCCATTTACTCAGGTGTATGTTTATTTGTTGAGGGAGTAATAGACCTGAGTTTTGGGTGTAAATTATTCCTAAAGGTAAGTGTTAGTGGGGTCGCCTAGTTTGAAATGAACATTTCCTAATACTTTACCTTCGTGATGAATTAGATGTACATTTTTACACTTAACCTGCACTACTTTATGAAATGAGAATTCAGAATACTTTATGTAATTTTGTTTTTTGAACAGAAAAGACAAGACTTGGTTAACTTGGTTAAACAGAAGCTTTCACACGGCTGTAGGGGCCTGTCAGTATTGTTAAAACTCTATGGACGCTAATGATAGCATAGAAGACCTGTTTTAATTACATGTATGCCTGTCTCATGGTACACTCCCTCAGGAGTACCCCCTCCTGGGCCTGGGGTGATGGTCATGCAGCTCAGCGTCCCCAATGGACCACAGCCTTCCCAGAATCCTCCTCTGGTCCAATGGAACCCATGCAAGTACTACAGCATAGAGCAGAGACCCAGCAAACCAGGAGAGCTCTACAAACCTGACAATACTCCACAGGTACACACACATACACATTTCAACATCTCAGTCATTGGGTGAAATTCTTGAAGTGCAAAGAACCTCATGAATCCAGACTGCAACCCACACATCCATTCTTTCATCTGCATGTATTTGTGCATTCATTATTAGCCTGTCAACCCCCTAGTGGTCATCTGTAATACTGCTTAGCTGTAAAATGTGCTTTAGATCAATGTGATGTCGTTAGATGAAATTAGTCTGTAACTTAGAGTAAAGTCAGGTAGAGCTGAAAAGTTTATCGCTTCATCGGGAATATGGGGCTCTAATGTCGCAGTATTTTATGTTATGCTTTCTATTTTTTGTTTTCTTCTCCAGGCCAGTACCCAGCTGACGAGTCCCCTGGCCTCCCCCACTCAGTCTCCCACCCCATCTCCCTCCGGCAGCGTCAGCAGCGTCTGTCCAGGCCTTGGACCACTACCCCTCATTTCCCAGTTTCCCCGGCCAGGAGGCCCAGCCCAAGGTACAGTTGAACAAGAAAATTGAAGGTTTATGTTAATGAGGAAAATGCATGTAAATTCTTAAATGCAACCGATGACAATGGAAATGGTACATACGCAGTCAGGTATCACACCTGTGTAACCCTCCACAAATAGAATACTGTACGCTTGACACTTGTCTAGGTACTGTATGTTGCTCATTCAACAAATTTTATCCCTGACTCTTGCCATTAAAAGAATCATACATTTTTGTTTTATTCCAGCTGTGTGTTTAAACACCTGCTCAGACTCTTGCTCTTTCACCCATTTTCACTGGAACTCTCTAAACCTTGTCAGGTGGCTTTTGGCCCTGGGCCAATAGGCTGTCATATCACCTTACTACAACTGGTTCACATCGCTGACACCATGCCACCCAGTCAAACCTGCGGCACCCACACATGGCTTTACCTCATCCTTGTCCTTTGACCTAAACATACACTCAGAGTCACAATACCTTGACTGACAAATAGACCTACTATTTGGAATGCATGATTACACGACCAAATACGGTCTTGCATCAGGCTACGATTCCTGTAATGTCACCATGACACATCTGTATAACATCGTCCTCAAAACACCAAAATCAAAAAGTACTGTAGTAGTGAACTGCATTAGGCCATTTTACCCATTAATGATTATTTGCAGCTTTTTCTTTGAACTCTCTGAAGTTTTGTTGAAAGAAAATCTTGAATGTGAAATCTTTGCCAAGTCCGTAAACCCTCATTAAATACACCATTCATCTCCTTTTTGGCTGTTCTATGTCAGCATATTCATTGTTATAACACTGTTTTCTGCTGCCCTTTGGACCAGGTCTCTCTTTAAAAAGAGATTTTTATGTCAGCGAGACAATGACACCTAGTTAGAAAAAAAGAAAAAGTGGTTATAAAGTTTACCTGATCTCTTCTGGGATAATGAAACTCTAAATTGAAGTGTTTTCAGGATTGATTGTTCTGATTTTAAATTTACGATTTAAATTTTTTAGGCGATGGGCGCTACTCTCTGTTGGGGCAGCCTCTCCAATACAGCCTTTGTCCGCCTCCCCTCATACATGGCCAGTCCTCCTACAGCTCCCATCAGGTCAGTACTGGCAGGCCTTTGCAATGATTCCAAAGGGATGCAGAATTGATTATTATTACTGTGCTTCAGTTTATTTCTGGCTTAAAGAGAGCCATCATGAATTCCGCACTCTAAAAACTGAATAAAATACAGAACAAGGCACAGAACTGTTTTCTGAGTATAGAAGTGGCTCAGAAGTGGAAACTCCTAATGCCCTGCAATTCAGTATAGCTACACCTCACTTTTAGATCATTGGTTCAGATTGTACCCCTGAAAAAGGCTGTGGTCTTTATTTTGATCTAAGAACACAAGATGATAAATGATCTGCTTGTTTTGTAATTTGCTCTTAAAGGGTGCAAAGCGTGGTAAAGTGGGTGAAAATGACTAGTAATGACAGAATATCGTAGTTCTGTGTATGAAGATATTGTTGTGAAGTTGGGGAACAGACACGACTTTTTTAAGTCACAGTCATTAAATGTAAGCTATGTGGAAATTGTTTAAAATCTTTCTTTGCAGCATGTTGTGTAGCCATGAGGTAGTAACGTAACTTAAGAAACATTTCAAATGGAAGCCAATGTGAGCTGTCCATCTTTCTGTCTCTCTGCTGCAGGCTTCATCACCTCTCCTGTGCCCACTAGTGTGCAGTATTTTGTAACCGTTGGTGTCTCCATTTACCAAAGACGTATACGTTTAAGGCTTCCACTGATTGGTTATACTGCCATCTAGTGTCTTGTCATGTTACTGCATCGTAATAATAGGCCTCATAATATTGTCGTTGCTGTGTTCAGGGCCAAGGAGTAATGAAACATGGGGGACGAGGGAAAAAACAAACACTCAAATCTGCATCAACAGATCTCGGCACCACTGATGTTGGTAAGTTACAGATGCACCATCACCGACCAGCACATCTACAGCCATTGAATTTTTCTCCAGGTGTTGTACTAGAGGACAAACCAGCAAAGTATGTGGCTTTTTTCTTCCTCATATGCCCCAGCTGGTGTGGATGCCATTAAATAAACATTGGGTTTTTGTGAAAATACTGGCATTAGCTGGTAGCACTGCAGTCAAAGTTCTACAGCCATTGTAAATACACCAAATTGGATTTCTTTTCCAGTATCCTGCTGGCCTCAGGGCCCCTGCACACCCTCATTGGTCTATGCACTGCACATTGCAAAAAAGTCTTAACCCGAAATAAATGAGCACATCTTTGGAACAGGTGCTCCAAGTCGGTAAAGATACAGCTTGAGCAGTGAAACCTGCTGACTTGGTACATCTCTCTCTGACTGTCTTTGCTTCTTCTTTGTCCAGTGGTGAGTCGAGTACTCGAGGTAACGGACCTGCCAGAGGGGATTTCACGTCCGGAAGCTGAGAAGCTCTTCAACCAGCTGTCGATGTGTGGTGCCAAGATCCAGTGGCTGAAGGAGCCCCAGGGAGGACGAGGAGGCTGCGGCCCCTGTCCTGGTGCAGGTCCCTCTGGGCCAGGAGCCACCGCTGGGCCCGGGGCCACTGTGGGGGGAGCAAAGGGCGATGGCAACGACCCCGCTCACCTCTACACAGTAGTGGCAGTGTTCCCCAGCACCATGGCTGCCCAGAGTGCTTCCTTCAAACTTAACAACAGCGGGGCCAGCCTCTTCAAACTGAGGGCCGCCAAAAAGAACTATGACCTGCGCGTGTTGGAGAGAGCCAGTTCTCAGTGAAAGGAAAAGAGAGGGGGAGGAAAGAAAGAAAGTGAAAGAGACAGAAAGAAAGAGAGACTCTTGGTGGAGTGGTGGAAAAGGAAGGAGGACTGAGGGGGACTGCTCTTAGTGTACAATTTAAAAACAAAACAAAAAAAAAAACTTGAGTTAAATGTATAAAAGGGAAGAAGGTGTGAATCATGAGGTGGCTGGTGTTTGGTTGCAAATATGATTTTGTTGTTTGTTTTTATTCATTGTTTTTGTTTTGTATTTATATAGCAGAAGAGCACACAAGACACGCGAGCATGTGTTTCACTGTTGCCGTGGAATGTGTGCTGCCGTTATACAACAACATGCAATGCCACACACATACACAAACATACCAGGAGACACAGACACACAAACGCAGGCAACAGGGTGACGTAGCACATAACAAAAACACACTGGACAGTCGACCTCAGTCAAACCTTTTCCTCCTCCCCTCTGCTCTCCAACCCTCCCTCCTTTTCCTCCTTTTTCTGCCTATGCTTTCTCTCGTTTCTCAACTCTCTGTCACCCAGTCGTCTCTTAATCTCACATATTTATACATTTTCATACGCACAGTTGCGCACTCTCTCTGCTTTCCCCCGCCGCTCCTCCCTCTTTTCTTGCCATGTCTCATACTGCCTCCTACCTTTCTCTGCTCCTCTGTCCCTCTCATGTACTCTCTCTGCTCTCTCCTCTCTTGCTTTCTGTTTGCCTTACTGCTGTTGTGGGTTTCTGTATTGCGCTGTTTTTTTCTGAGAAGTTTTTTTTTTTTTTTTCCTTTTTTTTTTTTTTTTTGTTTTTTGGGGTTCAATATATTTATATAAGTGATGTAAGGAATAAAAGAAATCTATATATTCAGTGATTTTTCTTTCTTTCCCTGAGTGACAAAGTTTAGGCCTTCCTTTATCCTTTACTCCTTCCCTCTTCATCCCCTTCTCCTCTTCTTCTGCCCTCTACCTCACTTCTTCTGTCCTCTCCTCTCTCCAACAACTGCCCCTCGCGCCCCGCTCCACCCCGACGCCCCACTGTGTTTGCGTTTTTCGTTGACAGCTGTGCAGAACGTATCAGAAGAAGTAGTTAAAGTGCACAATGATTGCATATGTCTACTGTAAATTTTATTTAATCTGTTATTTTTTGTTTGTTTTTAAAAATATAAAAGTCGAGAAAAAATCTATCAAAACATCCTCTGTGTCATGTGATTCATTGTTTGACTTTCCTGAAGCTGGCTGAAGACTGAACTGCAGAGCCACAGTCAGGTCAGTTCCACCTCGGTTATGTGTCTATACAGTAGTATTCTCTATGTGCATTTACAAATGGAAAGACATCTTAACAACTGTCCTTAGCATACTTAGGAATTTTGGTGACGGTGGAGAGCGCTGTCAAACACATCACTCCTAAATCTCCCATAGGTGTTGGGTTGAGATCAGGTAATTATGAAGGCTTTAACGTATGATTCAGATCCTTTTCATACTCATCAAACCATTTAGCGCCTTGTATCCTGTATAAAAAACAGCTGCATTCTTTATTTCAGGCCTGTTTTCCTAATGCATCACCCCTCTGTAAATACTGAGCACATTCATGCTCCCCAGAGGAAGGATGTTTTTGATTTTAAGAAATTTCACCAATTTATTATCTCACCTGGAGATAGCACCATCTCATCGATATTGGCAGCAGCCCAATCCAGCGTATCTGAGACGAGCGTGATGACAAGGTAACTGAGGTGGACGAGGAAGCTGAGTCTTGCGCTCCCTGCTCAAGGGGCCTGGAGGTTGAATCAATCCCTCTTTCTCTGAAATGTTCTGCCTCATTTTTAATGTACATTAATCCTAATTTTATTCTGGCTTTGTTTGACATTTGTATTCGGTTGGGGAAAAAAAAACAAAAAAAACATAGTGGCAAACTGTGACATACAGCCACTACTAGAACTACTGTTGCCACTGAGCACCTGCGAAGTGATGCATTATATAGCTATGAGTAAAAATGACTGGAGGACTTCACCTTTGTGTTTTGACAGTGTGGGGGCCCCTGATGGCTGTGGGGCCTCGGGCAGGTGCTTAACACGTACTGCTGTAAACATGTTTATATCTACACGGTAGAAGATCTGTCAGGTTGTTTCATCTTTTTTTCCGACAGTTTCTCAGATCAGTTTCTGTTCAACTATAGGCTACAATCTTTATACCTCAATCTGCTCAAATATGTACATGTAACATGTTTGAGCAGATGAAGTAAAATCTTACACAAAATGTTAAAATATAATCTGACATCTGTTTTCCTATTTTGTCCCTCACTTGTTTTTTTACATTTTAGGAAAAAGCAACAGATAATTTAACTTCATCCCTTTTGGGTTTTCAGTCATCCATCTGTGTCTGACAGAGATACGCCCAGGACATTCCAGCATCCAGGTATGGATGCTTCACAATAGGATTTAAAGTTGTTGACAGCTAATCAATAAACCCTGAAAAACACCTAACATCTGCTTACAACAATATAGTGTGTTATAAATCATGTATTAATTGTATATGTACCAATTAGAAACCATAAATGTGGGGGAGTCAAAACTGCATTAGTCCGTTTACGGTGGAACCAAAGATCAATGATTGTTTTATTCAGTATTGGAAGATGTACTTTAGGTTGTCATTTTAAAGTTGACAGTAGAGATATAGACATGAGGACAGAGAAGAGGACTGACATTTGTAATTACACGAAACACATCTAGGTATTGGGGATAAAATATTTTTATTGAAAGAACAGATATAGTTCTTGACTCCAATCCCAGAGGTGTTATTTAACAAACTCTCAAGACTCTCACTTGTAGACTCAAATAAGTGCATACAGTGTTTCGCTCTCCCCATAAGAATCAAGTCATATTCTGACAAAAGTTGTGGTCATGTGTCATTTAAACATTTATTAAACTCATCTACTTTGTATCTGGAATTATTCAGATTTAAATCCATTATTAGATGGACCCATTGTATTCTTCTAAATGAGTATCTGTCTTATTTCCAAGCTAGCTGCACTGTTGTCCATTCAGTTTTCCCTTTCCCTTGTTTCCATTGCTCCAGGGTTGGCTTAATAATAATTAAGCCAATGAATGGTGATCATTTTAGTATCTATTAGAACCAGGACTCTGAGCTTGTAGATTTCAAGGGGACAGAGCTTTATATTTTATATAAAACACATGCACAACATGCTGAGTGAAAATAAATATTTTGTAATTCAGCAAATTATTGATAATTTTTGGTTGAAATCAATGTTCATCTTCTTGTGTGTGTGTGTGTGTGTGTGCGCACATGTGTGTGTGCGCGTGTGTGTATGTGTGTGTGTGCGCGCGTGCGCGTGTGTGTGTGCATGCATGTATGTGTGTGGTGTGTGTGTGTGTGTGTGTGCATGCATGTACGTGTGTCTCCATGTGTGTGTCCATGTGTGTGATAATATTCTAACTTTAGTCTATACTGAGTGAAGAACCAGAAGCAGAGCGCTCTGGTTTTTTACCACTCAGCTGGGAGAGCTTCTCAGCTTTTAAAGTGCTCAGCTGTCCCAAACAGTCACATGGACAACACAAACACACACACACACACACACACACACACACACACAGTCGGGGCTGGGCTGGGTTGGGTTGGCCTGCTGGCATTACTCATCCCAATGTCCCACCTGTTGGAGCCTCATTTGGAAAGTTGAGCATGTAAAGGAACAACAAGACTGGTAGAAAAAGCTAGAAAGAGTCCCCAGAAGTTTTGTTCTGCAGGGACGCATCCTGACGGCAGTGGCTGTACGAGAACCACATCTCTTTGAGAGGAAGTGGAATTCAAGTTTCACGGTCAGTTGATATTAATTATGCATGTGTGTTCATCCAGAATAATGATCTACCGTACCATAGTCATTTCTAACCCCTTGTTAACAGTTGCTGGGTGCTTGTTGTTTTTTGTTTTCATTCCCTTAACATGTTTTCTAACATAGAGCAACTTGAGAGGGGGGGAAATGCTCCAAACCCTCTGTAGATGCATTGGACGTATATCTTGTACCAGGTTACAAGTGAGTCCTGTTTTAACTTTTGCTAAGATCAAGTTGCTTCCCCAGAACAGACCTAAGTGTCCGCTGCATCTTGAATATAACTACACTTTGTTCACTGATTTCTAAAGTAACGCCAAACATAATGCGAAAAAATTAACAATTTGTGGACAAGTCTGACAGATCAAAGGTAACTGGTTGTTCAGTAATTGTGACTGGAGGCCAAACAGACAGATTATGTTATATTATTAGAGATCTAAAGGGAAAGAAATCCCCTTTCCAGCTACAGAAGTGATGCTGGTGTGTTTTCTGTCTGCAGTGACATCTGCTGGTCCAACCTCTCAATATCTGGAGGAACAAAACCTCAGCGGACCAAACACCATGGCTCATTATGACTCGTGAGTTCAGTCTGGAGACGGAATAAAACACTCTTGATAAATTACCTCATTCACTTGATGGAAAAATGACTACAATAGAGTTTTTCCACACTTGTAAGGAACCTAACAGAGTGGGAGGTTTGTTAATTAAAGGTTTAAATACTTTAAAATAACATTATAGAACAAATAGAATATAGAACATAGAAACTTTAAAAACCTAGAGTGTAACATTTGAGACAGGCACTGACATATTAAGACCACCTTGAGAATGTCACAATTTATTTTCTGCAGTCAAACATTTGCCTCTCGCTGTGACATTTGCTACCCGCTGATGACAGGTTGGATGACAAGGACTCCGTGGATATTCATGACAACCCACCACTCCCTGATAACGTGGTGAGGGAGGAGGACAACACGGTGAGACATCTAATATCCAGCACTTACCATGTGACACACACGTCAAGTGGCTGTTTACAAATCAGATAACCAGAAGACTGGTTACTCAAGCTTTGGTACAGCTTATATTAAGATGTGTTCTACAGATCACAGGTTGTATGAGATTATACACACATACACTCACATGAATTAATCATTTTACTCAAATTCCAAAAACCATATATTCTATCTTAGCACTAGTAGCATCTAGCCATGCAGATAATTTTAGTTTTATTTGCTCAGGTTTTGAGACCTGCTGCCATAGCAACACAACACAATTCTGCTTTAACAAATAACATTTTAAAAACTCTGGATAATCCACAATACACACTGTCAACAGATTTCATCGGGAATATTTTTAATAAGTAGTTTCAGTGATCACAGTATGTTTTGTGGGTAACACTGTCTAATTATTCTAGATGTAGATTTTCAGTGTTGTGAGCACAACAAACAAACACTGTATTGGGATGGAGGCAGGAAGCTTGGATCATCAAAATTAGATGATACAGTATGGACAGATATGATTGATTTACGAGCGATTTCCAAAGTGGGCTTGAATATATCACCTGTAAGCCGACGAACACACTGAGGCATGGTGGTTAGTTTGTTTAGGAATCCTGACAGCTAAATAGAGTTGCAGAGTAATGGTGCTGTAATGTGTGAACTGTCCCTGGTATTATCAGTTATTGTAGCGTAAATCCACAGCCTGACGGCCACAGGACACCTCTAATCCTGCCAGTGATGGAGAGATGGAGCCAGTTCAGTCTGTCAGGCGTCCCCCTGACTCTCTGTGTGTGTGTGTGTGTGTGTGTGTGTGTGTGTGTGTGTGTGTGTGTGTGTGTGTGTGTGGCATCCTTATGGCTCTGTTTGACTAGACTGGAGTCTATTTAGGAGTAGCAATGTCAAGCTTTTGTTGCATTCAGTTGGGAATTCTGTCAGTCTATGTCGGAGGCTATTTTGAGATCTAAGCCCTTTCAACCTGTCCTGTCTGTGATTTGCATATGTGTGTGTGAGTGTGTCTCCATGCAGGAGTCCGAAAAAAAAACAAAAAAACAAACACTCCCAGTATCATGCAAAATTACTTTCTAAACTCAATTATTGGATTTGAGCAGAATGATATTTAAAAAAGAAAAAAGAAAAAAGACAAGCAGTAGTCTTGACACTTGTGAAGTCATTATTCGTGGATCTGGCTCTGGCTGATATGATACAGTTGGTGCGAAGACCAGTCAGACTCCATGTGGCTCAGACCGCAGGGTGCTTCAGTATTAATAGAATTGTTCTCATATAAATCTGTCAGGTGGTGGGTGGTGCAGGATACTGGGACTGTTTGGGTTAAATAAAGAAACAACCAGAGAACAATTCAGTGGAATCCAAAGATCCAAGTTTCTTGCTCAATTGAAAACAGACTGGCAGATAAAATGGCTCTATGATATACACTGTTGGCCATTCTCTACTGTTACATCCAATTGAGGTGCATTGTGTTTCATGTTAAACTGCTTTCTTGTGTTTTGTCTTCCAGCAGCGGTCACATGACCCATTTTTATTCTGCTCCTTCCAGGTATATTTTGTCTACGACGAGGAGGTAGAAGAAGAAGAGAAAGAGGAACCTCCTCCCCTAGAACCAGTTAAACCAGTCAACGACAAACCACACAAGTTCAAGGACCACTATTGCAAGAAACCAAAGTTTTGCGACGTCTGTGCACGCATGATCGTTTGTATGTTCCTCTTGTCTCCTTTTGTTTTCTGCGTGACAAACCAAGTGGTCTTCAGCGGTCTTTAAAAATGATGTCATTCATAGCTTTATTCTTGTTTCTTTTCAGTGAACAATAAGTTTGCACTGCGATGTAAGAATTGCAAAACCAGCATCCACCACCAGTGTCAGTCCTACGTGGAGTTCCAGAGGTGTTTTGGCAAAATTGTGAGCTTCATGTTCCACAGTAGTTTGATGTTAAATCTAAACTTAACTGCAGATCATATATTTTATATCCTGTATTTTTCATTTTCTCTTGTTTCCTCTTTTTAGCCTCCAGGATTCAGAAGAGCTTACAGTTCTCCTCTGTACAGCAGTCAGCAGAATGCCACAGTATCTCAGCTCCTGCCTTTTTGTGAGTCCCACTAATGAAGACTGCTGCATGAAGAGGAAATTCACCCATAAATCAAACTTTCTTGTCATACCTTACAGGACAAATTTCATGTAGTAATGTTCAAAACATTTTTGTCTATTTTGCACGTCCTCAACTAAGTGTTTATTTCATTGTTTAAAGGAGCTATTTATGAGTTTTGCTATTGCTACATAGCCAGCGTTAGCATTAACAGCTGTTTACTCACTAGTCTAGAAGAACTGTTGCAAGTTCAGCATCAAACTTCATTCCTTTACTTACCAAGAGCCGTCTACAGCACTGGAGAGCAATGCCAATGTCAACACTGTCACATCTTTTCTTCAACTGAAGTTAGCACGCTAACCAGCTAGCCCCGGCCCGTCCTGTCACTTTCTGATATAGTGACTCACTTTAGCTTTTCATCTCAACTGAAAATGTAGCGCTGCTCAAAGGGCCTATTATTTCCTCATGTCTTGTAAAACCAATGATTGGCCGAAGCTCTTGTGAAATCCCAATCTCAGCCACCCACTCCCAACAAGAAACCATTTTCAGCTGCACTGAAAACTTACAAATAGCCCTTTTAAATATTCACTAAAGAGGCTTATGTTAAGTAATTGGTGATGAGGTAATCGTTGAAATCATCATCAGACACAATTACAAATCAAAGGACAAGCTGAAAACAAATTCAATATAGGATTTCAATATTTTTGGAAAAATAAGTTGAGATTGTATTGAAATTTAAATACCTGTACGTTTTTTTCTTACCTGGATTCATGTTTTCTCTCAGCACAGTCAAACCGCACTGACCCTGTGTTTGAGACGCTGCGGATCGGTGTGATCATGGCCAACAAGGAGCGTAAAAAAGGGTCGGAGGACAAGAAGAACGTGAGTGTGGACACACTAATAAAACTGAAGCTGTCCTACTACACAAAACCACTTAATTGTCATTTTTCATGATTAGTTTCTAAGCTGCTATATTGCTTTTGCTGAGCTTTTTCCTTTTGTCAGTAAAGGGCTATATGATTGTATGACTATTGTCTTTCCTAACTTGTCCAGATGATGATGATGATGATGGAGGAAGATGAGTCCCAGCCCAAACAGGAGGAAGAAGGAGGTGAAGGAGGTGAGTATATGCTGAACAGGGTTTCAGCAGTAGAAAGAACAAATGGTTTAATGTATGTCCCAGGTTTGAGTCCAGCTGGGACCTTTGCTGCACTGTGTGCCACCTCCCCTGTATCTCGCTGTCTCTGTCTCCATGCTCGCTGTCTCTCTGTGATGTTGGACGATGCCTGATGATGATCCCCGACTCATTTTTGTTGTCTCATTTGTGTACCAGCAAACACAGAAGGAGACAAAAGAGGAGACAAAGCTCCTGCTGATGACAAGGTAAGAGAATGTGGAGCTGAAGGTGACATGATGATGATGTGAATGAAAAATATAGTTATCATGATATCAAGTATTAAGTGTGGTTAAGATGCAATGATGTTGAATCAGTGTTGTGGTGTTTATGTTTGTGTTTTTCCAGAATAAAAAGCTTCAGCCAGGGAAGATTGGTGTGTTCAGTCAGTCTCACTACTATCTGGCTCTCTATCGCTTCAAGGCCATAGAGAAAGACGACCTGGACGTGCAGTAAGAAGCCCGTCTGGTGTTTCTCAATGCCTCTTAAAAAATCTCTGCCTTGCTTGTGTCATTATTTAATATTCAAATATTCGAGTACTCATATCCAACTTATTCTTCAGTGCTGGGGACCGCATCACAGTGATAGATGACTCCAATGAGGAGTGGTGGAGGGTGAGTCTGAGCTCACACACTCGCACAACATATTGCAGTGTGTTCATGATCTAGGTGATGGTTTCAGTTTAGTCTCCTCTCCAAAAGTTATGAAATTTTACAGAGAGACAGCCAGAGGGCTCGAGGATCAATTAATTAAATTCTGGTCATTATCTCGGTCTGGGACTTTTGCCATTAGATGATTATGTTTTTTTGAGCCAGAACAATTAAACTGATTTTATGTGCTGGAGGGAAGGCTCAACAGCAAGTCGCCTGTTTTAGAGCATTGTTTACAATATTTATTTAGCTGTTAAGCCAATCAATATTCAAAGGACTAATGATGAACAAACGTAAACCATGAGGGCTGGCTTGGCTGAATTTCTGCCAGGCCACAGTTTCATTTTGGTCTGCTCGTCCATCATGTAAAGTAAGTTGTACAATAGTTGACAGTTCTCAGACAACGTAAAGTTTTCCTACATTTGATTGGATGAACATAGCACTTGCTAGACTGTCACTGGTCTTTTTTTTTTTTTTTTTTAAACCAAAGAAAAAGTGGTGGCTCTGGAAAAGTGATCAGGATTTTCCCAAAGTATCAGGTTCTAAATAGACCATGCAGCTGAATCATGCTTCCTTTTACAGGTAGTTCCAATTGTTTCCCAAGAGGGTGTATGTTTTATGAAACAGTAATGTCATCATCTAAACACTCTGGTTGGGTTTAATCAATTCACACCAGATGCTCTGTATAATCTTCTAGTAAAAACACAGCTGATCAGACGTGGTTTGACTTTGTGAGGCTACATCTCTTGGTCCAGAGCTGAAAATATTTCAGAAACATTGTTTTCCCACAGTGGATGTTTACTGATCATCCATACACCTATTTTTGTCAGTCACTCAGCTTTCAAAGCCACACCGACCGTACTGTATGTTCATGTTTAAATCGAGCCAAGTATTCTACGTGTGAAACTGGAGCTGTAGCACCTCACTGTTACAGCTTCTGTTCCACCAGGGGAAGATCGGCGAGAGAACAGGCTTCATACCTGCCAACTACATCATCCGAGTGCGAGCAGGAGAGAGGGTCTACAAGGTGACTCGCTCCTTTGTCGGCAACAGAGAGATGGGCCAAATCACTCTGAAGAAAGACCAGGTCAACACACACACACACACACACACACACACACACACACACACACACACATCATTATATAACCGAACCATAAATGTCTCCACTATATTTAAACCTAATCCCAGGCTTATCTCCAAACTGAAGCCCAAAACACACTGGAGTAAGGTAGACTTATAGGTACACAAGCACAAACATGCACAAACATACACACGCACATACTGCATACTTTACACACAAATACACAGAGTAAGTATCCACAGCAACATGCAGCCTAAAGCACTGTCTGATAATTCGTCTTTGAAATTAATTCTCTATAGATTGTTTAATTAAAATCTTAATTAATGCAAAAGAATTTAGGTCACTCAGCTGCTGAAGTTTCATATGCCTTTAAGTTAATAAACATTGATCCAGATGGAGGAAGGTCAAAACAACAAACACAATCATTTTGCATTTCTATATACCAGTAATTCAAAAAGTGATTTAAAAGAAAACACATGGTGCCTTCCAGTTCAGTGCAATAAATATGGTCATGTGTACTGACACAACAAATACAATAGACATCAATAGACACATCAATATAAACACACACCATATACAGAAATACACAGATAAAAGCATGCGTCATGTTAACATAAGGAGAGAAATGTTGCCGTTTCTTACTCACCGGCCTCGCTGCTGTTAAACCTCACACCTGTTTACATTTAACCCTCACAGTAAGCTATAGCCTGAACTCTTAACTCTAAACTCTTATTCCTCTCGTGAAGACGTGAAAACTGTTTCAGTGGCACGCTCTGCTGTCTGCCACAGTGTCTTTATCACATATGGTACCACAACATGCTGTTGGACAGTTGGACAATTTCCAGATCTACACATAGTGGCTTCAACACATCTGCAGATCTAGATATAGGAATGTTCTTTTTTTTGGATTCTGAGTCACATGAATTGAGCTGTTAGAGTCAAATCCTTTTCACAATCTGTCTGTAAAGGGCCTATTTGTAAGTTTTCTCTGCCACTGAACGTGGTTTCTTGCCAGGAGCGGGTGGTGGTCATTGTTGCTTGACAAGAGCTTTGGCCGTCATTGTCTTTATAATACAAGAGGTTATAATAGATCCTCTGAGCAATGCTACATCTTTTAGAGGCTATAGTGAGTCGCTATTAGAAAATGACGAGACTGGCCAGGGCTAGCTGGTTAGCATGCTAACATCAAGAAGAAAAGATGTGATAGAGACAAGAGTTACTGGCGTTGCTTTCCACCTCTGGAGACAGGGAATGAAGGAAAGAAGTTTGATGCTGAGCTCCTTTAAAAGACACATGCAAAAGCTAATGGACCAGTGGAGGATGATTCGTCACTTCATGGTCAGATCCGGTTTGTTCTGCCTCACTTGTTTGCACAGGAGAGTGTTTGCTGTAGCTACTGTTGAAGGTTGAATTTCAGATCAATTTCTGCTCAAAATTGTTGTGTGTTCTCAATAATTTAGTTGTTGATATAACACAGACACAAAAACACGCTCAAGCATCAAGAGGAAAACCTACAGTAATGCCCACCTGCAAAACATATAATTTCCCAGTCTAAGTGTGTGTTTGCTGTGTGTGTGTGTGTGTGTGTGTGTGTGTGTGTGTGTTCTCAGATTGTGGTAAAGAAGGGTGAGGAGGTGAACGGCTACCTGAAGGTCAGTACAGGACGTAAGCTTGGCTTCTTCCCTGCCAACCTGCTGCAGGAGATATGAAGAGGGCCAGCAGGCGTCCCGTCAACCCTCCAGCTCTCATGGCGGTTTCATCACCTGCTGTCGCTGGAAAGCTTGTTCTCGGTCCAAAGCAGCAGCACTGAAACACTTTCTACTTGAATTTGTATTTCAACGCATTTTCCTTTGTTCCTTTTCAAACTTCACACATGACCATCCAAAGCCTGCATGCAGAATATATTGTGTAAGTGTACCTACTTACTATGCGGAGACAGATAAATAGTTTGCACCTGTTGGTTGAGTCTGAGGATTATGGCTGTTATCAAAAGGATTGAAGAGCAGCAACTTTTTTTTATTTATTTTTGGCTTTATTTTATTTTCTGGCTTATACAAAAAGTGGTTGTCTGGTAACAGGTGAAGCATTATTACTCATTTGAAATATGCTTTTCATTTCATTTTACATTGAAGCAACATGTTGTTTGTTATGTTTTGGCATAAAAATACAACAGCATTTCTATTTGTGTGTCCAACTTGATTACTATGTCTGCTTTTATACCAGCCAAACAAAACCAACTGAGTCACAGGGATGAGGAAGGAAAGTAGTTTGGTTTGCACATTTGAATCAATCACAATGTAGCAGATCTATGACTTAAAGCTTCCACATTCTGAATCCTTCCAAAATTACAGCAAAATTATCATTATTATTATTATTCTTCTTGTTGTTATTATTAGTGTTGCTGTTGTTATAACAATAGTGGAAATCTTTCTTAATCCTACTTAGATTAATGTGAGGTTTACGAGTACCAGATGTGAACCCAAAAGCACAACAATGAGGCATCAGAGTCTCAATGAAAGTTCAGTTTACCGACTACAGGCAGAGTCACAAACCAGGTAATCAGACGATCAAGCAAACAAATCCAATGGGGGGCAGGCAGGAAATCAAAGGTCCAAAAACAGTCAGGCTGGGTCAAAAACAGGTAGATCAGGCAGAGCCCGGAAAGTAACACTGGAAGGATTGGCGGTAAAACACAAGACAATCTGGCAGAGGTCAAGGGAAAATGGACTGAGGGACTGATGAGAGCCGGGGAAAACCAGTTGAAGGTGATGAGCAGTGTGCATGGGCTAATAGGGAGGCGGGATCTGAAATAACAGGAGAGTTAGTGATGAGACAAGGAAACAAAACTAGGTGAAAACAAACTAAGAGTTGGAGGGATTCATGACAATTAACACTATTTGAGTGTTTCATTATACTGATGTGTGTGTGTGTGTGTGTGTGTGTGTGTGTGTGTGTGTGCGCGCCTGTGTGTGTGTGTGTGTGTGTGTGTGTGTGTGTGTGTGTGTGTGTGTGTGCGCCTGTGTGTGCCTGTGCGTGTGTGTGTGTGTGTGTGTGTGTGTGTAAAAGAGGTATAACAGAAGCAGAAAAAAAACCAGGTGAATCTGGGAAACAATGACAGATTTAAATGAGATGGAGGCATTTCCAGAACTTCAAAAGGACACAGAGGTATTTTCTGTATCTACCCTGAGTGCAGTGTAATTAGCCAAAGGAGAGTCTGTGTGTGGGGAGATCAGGAATGCAGGGAACAACATCTGTAGGTCTGTGGAGACATTCCAGTGGTGACGACAGGCCTGAATAACATGGCACCTACAGACAGAAACACTTTCACCTTGGCTTCTCTCTCCATACACCCTCCTTTACCTTTCATCTTTTCTTCTAAATGATTTTTAGTAAAGAACCCTTCCCTTCTTTGTTCTACTTTTGCTTTTCTATTTGTTTTTCTAGTGTAGATTGATTTCCTCCTTCAGTTGCTTCTCTGTGCCTGTGCGTCTGGTTTCTTCTCCCTCACACACACACACACACACACACACACACACACACACACACACACACACACACACACACACACACACACACACACACACACACACAAATACAAATACACTCAACAGCCGCGTTCAGATGCAGATGATGAGTTGTCTGGTCACGCCTCCTTTCTCCTCTGTTGTCTGTCGGAGGAAAGGAGCAGCGTGGCCCAAGCAGGTAGCGTTGCCAGGCTTCAGCAGTCCTCTGATTGGACAACAGAGCACCCCCTTCAGACACGGGTCGCTTCTTTCTGAGAAACAGCCTCTGCTCCATGCCGCTCTGGACTGAGGGACCGCATGGAAGATATCACAGCTGCCATGTTATCATCCCCGACCCCCTGACCCTGCCACTCCAGACAGGCAGGATGGAGCAGGGATGCCAAAATGTCTGTGGCTTTGTGTGGGTGGATGATTTTATATGCGAGTGTGCTGGTGAGAGGGCAAGGGCACGGAGGGGGCGACAGCAAGATGCTGTGGCAATGAATCTGTTCAATTCAAGGGAATTTCATTTTTGTTGGGGACACCACATTGAGAGCCAAACTTCAAGTCCAGCTGCAGGTGAAAGGACAGAAAAATCACATTAGTAAGCAAAAGGGGCTCATTTATAACCTGTACCTAAATAATACAGTACAATATTTACATCTGACAAAACGATCTCAACTTAAGATCCACTTAGAGGAGGGTTTGCGCCATTGCCACGGAAACAGAAAGCAGATGTTCAAACCAGCTGTTTTTTCTGTGCGATTCATCCATGTTGACCTAAGAATTGAGCCTCACAGTTCACCTTTGGCCCCAGAAACAGTGTGGCAGTTTAGACATACATGTTTCCATGGCAACTTAGGTAACTCAAGCTGATGATGACTCTGTAAGATGGTCAAAAGCTCCAGTATAAGTGAGTTACCGGAGCATGAGTTGAGATTGTTTTGTCGATTGTTGTTTATAAGATCGTGTCAAGTCCAGTTTTCTCATGTTCTGGAGATTATTTTAGAAAAGAAAGACAATATTAATAAATAGAGCAAAGTTCATTTTTGATGAAGAAATAAGATTTTAACTTCAATATCAAGTGCTTTAAAAACTTTCAGCAAGAACTTGTCACAAGAATGTTTTCCACAATGTTTAACTACAAACACAGCCCACATATTGTGCATAGAAGGGAATTTTAATGATTAAAACTAACACATATTGCAACAATATATTACAGACTGAATAGCAGCATGTTGTATTTGGACACAATTAACATGTAACAGTGATTTTACCCAACAGAGGTCCCTGTTGCACCGGATATAGAGCAAAGCAAAGTGTCATTCTCACTGAACCAACCTCACACACCACAGGGAGACAGTGTGTTGTGTTTATTGTGAATAGCAGTTGTGAAGCTGCTGTGTTGTCGGTACAGGCCAAAGGATACCGAGCTCATAACAACAAAATGTGTTATTTCTTTATCTTAATGATCATGTGGTCTAGAATAACTGCAGAGCTACTGGAATGACTCATTTGGTTTCTGAAAATCGTAACATATCCCATATTTCCATAGTTTTCAGACAATTAGATGCAAACATTTAATAGGCAATGGTCAGTATAAATATTCTGTATGAAATTAAATCCAGTCATCAAATTACTGTTAAAAGTTCCACAATCCTCCTCTCCTTAATTTGCGATTCGGAGGTGTTAAGCATCACACCCATGGATGCATTTTGAGACTGCACTCAGCTTGTTAGTTCAGCGGAAGCCTCCCTGAATGTGTGATATGTCATTTGCAACACATGTTGGCAAAGCATCATGCAGCACTGGAAAGTAATACAACTTTGTGCAATGTCAAACCACACTTATTGGATGTGCATAAAGTGACACATTCCTGTTGAAGAGTGCAGGCTCTGCATCATCCAATTGACCCACCACGTTCAGAATCACATTTAGCATCCAGTCGAAGAGAAAATCCATCTTTCCTCTGCTAGCCGCTGAGAAATGTAGCATGTGTGAGGAAAAATAATAACATAAAACTATATTAGAGATCCCCTTTGCCTAGCAGAGAAGGTATTGATTTTTAGAGAAAGGTTTCAGAAAGTCTCTTCCAAGGGCCAATACTAATGCCACTTCTCCACCCAGACCTCAAAGCACCACAACAACATTTTAGGCCGATCACAAAGCTTAGGGACTGGATTTATTTTTAGAAAGTTTTTTTTAATTCTCTTGCTCGCTGTCTGTTTTTGTGATTTACAGATGTGTGTGTATGTGCATGAAGTAGCACAAACGTGTATGAAATCTCATATTTCCTGACAGAACATCTGAAGCGTTAGATTAAAGCCCTGACATGATTCTTTTAATAACTGTTGCAGAATAACACGCCTTTTATTCCCTTTCATTTTCCATTGAGGCGCCAAAATTCAATTATCTAATCTGATTTATAAAATTATTAATCTCCATTACTCATACATTCAAAATGATTTTGGAATCCTGTGAGATAGAAAACTGTGTCTTTATTTAAAGTCAAAATGTAATGAGGTGAGTGATGGTTGGGTAGGGTTCAGAGTGGACCACACAGAGGTGGTAAAGAGATTGAAACAGTTTCCTGTCTTGCACCATTAAACAATTCAAGGTGTTTATATGCACTGGCTGCCAAAAAGACACCACAGGGGAAGATAGCATGCAGCCTGTTATCACAGTACAGTACATAAGTGTGTGTGTGTGTCAGTGTGTGTGTGTGTGTTCACTTCTGTCCATCCATCTGTGCGAAGAAAGGGAGAAAAGGACAGAAAGACAGGAAGTGCTGGTGCATACGTGAGATTTCATGCTTGTGCAAGAATAAATTTATGATCGTGATGACACTCAAACACACACACACACACACACGCACACACACATAAAGAGAAAGACAAGTTTACAGAGAGAGTCCTGAGGCCTAGAGAGAGAGAGTGAGTGAGGGAGGGAGGGAGGGAGAAAAGGCTAGAGAGAAGACTGCAGGGTTAGAACCAATTAGGCCAGGAGAGGATCCCTCCACCTGCACTGTGAGGCCCCCAGGGGAGAGTCCCAGTGACAAGATGAGGGATCATCATCATTACCATTATTTATTTGCTAAGCAGAGGCCGACTCTGGGGCCAATCCTAATAGGATTCACGAATTACAATGAGCGCCTTGCTGTTGGGGCATATAGGATGCTCAAGGAGGAGGGTAGGGTTAATGCATGG